CAAATAAGCTTATCTCGAAACACTTTTAATATCATTATATCAGCCATATAATATAATATCGATCTTGATAATATGTCTTTCTAATAAGCCACAAGCAGAATAATATTAGATTGAACAATGGAAAACCATAACTAATTTTCCAAATTCTCTATAACTATTGGACTCGTGCATCACCTACGATTAAAATAATTTTCATAATACGAATTAATTTTCATTCCTAACTCCAAGGCCAATATACATAAAAATGCTATCACATAAATTCATATGGGACACAAACCTCAGGCTTCCACCTTCATGAATACATACTAATGTCAAAGGTAAAACATGATTAATGCTTACCTTAAGAGTCGTTTTGGGGTCTAGAAATATTTAAATAGAAAATTGTTTAACGGGAAAGCATACCTTGATCCATAGCATTGATTACCTTGTTGAGGCAAATTTGATTCTCACTGTAACCAGTTAAATCTATGTTTCTTCACTCTGGCCTATTTGGTCCATAAGCTCTCTCTTAATGGTCAGAGAATTATCAACAGTAGCGGGAGTTTTTCTTTTCCGCATTCTCTCAAACAAACTTAACCATTAGTGTTTGAGGTAGCCGTCACCTCTTTTTAACCTACGCTATTGATTTCCTTGATCTTTATAAGGCAGAGGTAAGGGTATTAAAACCCCCTAACTGGTCCTCATCTCATTAAGCCCAATAATCATCATCTTGGGCCACCTTAATTAGAACCAACCATTTAATTACATAGGCCACATAGATTATTAAAATAATCTAACAGATAAAAGCTTGTTCAATAAGCTTATTGAGTCAAGCTATCAAGTTTGAGCTCAGCTCATTAACTCGTGAGCTAACTTTAACGAGACAAGTCGAGTTCACAAGCTAGCTCAGTGAGCAAAAAATAATTAAAACTACATTAAGACTTGACGTTTTGGTTTGATGAATTTCGAGCTGAGCTCAAGTTCATCAAAATTCTACAACCTTAATTATTAGTAAGGAAAGGAAATAAGGATAGGAAAATAATAAAAAAAAAAAATGAGAGCTCCTGAAAAATTATAAAAAATACTTTTCTTGTATTTGAATTTAAGAAGAAGATAAAATTATTGTTATAGTTTTTTTTCCCTTCCAATTTCAAAATTATTTTCTCTCTTTTTCTTTTCTTTTTACGCTACAATCGGGTCGGTATTAAGGTGAAGTTCTTTCAACAGTAACGGTTCTAAGTTTCAAATTCCTACATCGACTGTAGGCACAATTTTACTTTAGTTAATGTAGTTTAGAATTCCTGACCTTACAAGTAAATTTGTCTAGAGATGTTGTCCACTTCTATTGAACCAACCGTTGTTGGTTTGAACATTGTGTAATAGAATCATAATTTTAGTCTAAAGAGATAATTTTAGACCATAAGATTAAAGTATTAATGGAATCATAACTTTTGAACTCATAATTAATGTTTGAAAACCAAAATTTTCTTATGTTAATCTGATATAATTTAGGGACCAATTTATAATATTTATGTTTTTACATTTATACCCAATTAATTTGATTTAGTTGCTAAAGATGGAAATTGGTTTCTACAACAAATATATACGCTAAAGATGGATAGTAGTCATTACCATATTTTGATTTCTTAATGGCTTGCCTTTTTATCAAGTCATGCAACAAATTCTAATGTCATTACCATATTGGATGACTTGTTGGATGACTTGTTAAAAAGGCAAAGCATTAAGAAATCACAATATGGTAATGACTAATTTCCATCTTTAACATATATATTTGTTGTACAAACAAATTTCCATCTTTAGCAACTAAAACAATCAATTGAGTGTAAACGTAAAAATAGAAATATTATAAATTGGTCTCCAAATTATAGTCAGATTAACGTAAGAAAATCTATGTTTTCAAACATTAACTATGAAATTCATAGATTATGATTCTATTAACACTTTGGTCTTATCGTCTAAACCGACGAATCAGCTAACACATCTTAAAATAGAAGTTCCCAAAGCTTCCACGTGGCACGCTGACTCAGCAAAAGATTGTACCATGTAGGCGGCCTGATTTATATGGCAAAAAATCTCCATTGATGGAAATATTAGTTATAAATGAGAAGCTATTGGTGACTCTATCAATGCAATATCCTCCATCTATGGAAATATTAGCTTAAAATATCTATTAAAAATGAGGGGATAACTTAGACTAAGTTTGTGACTCCACTTATGGACCAAACCAATGAAATTAATAATTTTTATTGAAACGAGAATATTTCTGACCATACACTTGGAAAATCCTTAATTTCATTGGTTTAATTCATAAATGGGATCATGGACCCGTCTAAGCAAGTAATTTCCTAAAAATGAAGAGAATTTGTTAAATGATCTGTAAAATATTTTTTTTCATTGAATACAATATTCAACAGTAATTAAAAAAATAAAAATTTATGTTTAACAAGTGCAATTTTATAAAGTAAAGTATTAAATAAATATAAATTTATAAACTAACGGGTCGATTTAAAAATTTTTAGGATGTCAATAGGCTTTTTTGATAGATTTCTAGTGCTAATTTACATATTGGACCAATTAAATATATAAACTCTTTAAATGAACAATAAATAAATATAAAAATTTGGAAATGTAATTAAAACTATTTTTTTTATCAAAAATGGCAATTCATTAATAAAAAATATAGGGCAAGTATATAATGGTATTCCCATAACAACAAAAAAATATAAATATATATGGAAATTGAAATCTTCTATTTAGAGGAATTTTCATAGAAGATGTTAACATTCTGGGTAAAAACTAGTCATTTTTCAAATAGAACAATAAAAGAATTAAACTTTTTACAATATTGTCTCACACTTTATTTTGGATAAAAACTTGTCATTTTTAAATTGAATAACAAAAAAAGTTAAACTTTTTACAATATTGTCCCAAACTTTATTTTTATGAAAACTCATAAAATATTAAACATTAATGGAGGAACATGCCGTGCTACCAGACTTCAGTAGTATAAAATCATTACCTGAACTTGAATATTTATATCCTCCAATCAAAAGTAATCAACAATCCACTTTGTATTTCAATCTGCTAAAAGAGAAAAAATTACAGACAAACATGAAAACTTCTCAACAATGAGAAACAACTCCATAAAAGAAGAGGAAACATAAAAAATCCCCCTATGAGGATATAAAAGAACACTCAATCCCAATAAAAGGACAACAAAAACAATCAAAGTCTTTTAAGGATAGATCTAAGAGATTAAATTAAAAATTTGTTCTAAACGGATATAGATCTTCAAATCATTGAAAAGAAAATTAAATTAAAGAAGCAGAAAAAATAAAAAGAAACCATCGCCGATAAAAAAATGATCGACGGTGGATTAAGAACAAAATCTTAAAAACTCTAAAAGAGGAAAATTAAGTAAAATCAGAACAAAAGCAGAAAGGAATCACCGCCGATAAAAAAAATAATCGACGGTGACTCATGAAGCAAAATCTAGAAGAAACTCTAAGAGAGGAGAGAGGGTGAGACGGCTAGGGTTTATGATTCATGTAGTTATAGTTATATAATTGTCGTGAATAATAAGAGAGTGACTGTGAGAGACGGCTAGGTTTTATAGTTCGCATAATTAATAAAAAAATCATAAATAAGAGTGCGAATGATATTTCTTTTAATAAAAAAATGATAATGAATAACATGAGTGTCAAAATATTAATTAGATGTATCAATAATCATTATCCAATTAAAAAGATGGTCATAGAAAAAATAAATGGCCAAATTCATAATAAATTCACCACTATATTGCCCACAAAAATCTTATTCAGCACTCTTAACTTTTTTATTTATTTATTAAAATACTTTAATTTATAAAATCATACTTATTAATTTCAATTTATGAAATTATTCTATTGAATATTCCAAACTAATAAAATTAGATTAATTAAACACTTATTAAATAGTGAAAAAATGTAAAAATTGTTATACTAATCACACATCAAATCAATATTATATATAAAAGCTAAATTAAAATGCTAAAAAGCAAAAACTATGGTTGCTAACACGGAAAATTATGTAATATTATCAAAATTCATAACTTTGGTTCTCTGCAAGTTTGGAAATGCCACAAAATTTTTTTAAAAAATACAACTATAAATTTATGTATTTGCATGAATTATCATAATTGCGCTAAAAGTGTAATTAATTCATTGTTAGAGTTCAACTTCTAGCAAATACAAAACCTTCATGCATAAAAAATTGTACCTTTCAGAAAATCCCTAAAAATTTCAAAAACGTTAATGCCAGAATAAAATTAATAATTTTGATCTTGAAAATTATTATTCATGCATGTCTATGTAAACTCTTTTCATTCAAAATGAAATCCCGTTATATGTAAAACTTTACTATAAATTCATGTACTTTTTATAAAAAAATTTGTGACTCACTTAATTTATTTAAGTGATCCTCAAATATTATTTCAAAAAAATTGTATTAACAATATGTCGAATTTATTTTACATATAAAAATCAAAAAATTCAAAAAACAGTTGTTGTTAACTGGAGAGGTGCGATTATCAAAATTAATAACTCTACGGTTACAATAATTTCCCTGAAAAAATTGGGAGTCACAATGTTTTTCCTACTGGCTGAAATTATGTATTTCGCCAATGAATTTTTAAGCAAATATTTTCATACTGGTCCACGCATCTTTGTCCTTTTGCAGTAATATCCAAAGGTAAATAATTTTGTGGGAACAACTCACCTAAACCGGATTCATAATCTCATTTATGGACCAAACTCTATGAAATTAAGAATTTTATTGACACGGGCTATTTTGACTATATACTTGTAATGAAAAATAAGATCAGAATAATTTTAAAAAATCTTTAATTTCATTTGTTTGGTTTGTAAACGAGAACATAGACCTAGTTTAGGTAAGTATTTTTTCCTAATTTTGTTGCTTTATAATCCCCCTCAACAAGCATAGATGGATCACTCCAACCCCAGTTCACCTTCACCCCTCTCCCTCTCTCGCTCCAATGGATGCGACTGAAAAACCTAACAAAGGCAACCCTTCCTCTCTCCCTCTCTCTCCAATGGACGCGACTGAAAAACCTAACCAAGAAAATCCAGGAGGAGAAAGCCAAGTTAGGTCCTATGAGTGTACTTTTTGCAATAGAGGCTTTGCTAATTCACAAGCCTTAGGTGGTCACATGAATATTCATCGAAAAGACAAAGCTCAACTCAAACAGCATTCAATTGACTATTACCGTCAACTTTGCATTGAAATCCCAAAGAATACTGTTTCACCTTCGTTTCCGCCATATCCATCAATGGCAGACTTTAATAAGTCTAGTCAAAATCTCTATAGCTCCATCAACTGGGCTTGGTTTCATAATCCACAACAACCTCAACTATTGCAAGGACAAAAATCTGGCTCCGGCGGCGAAATGGGTTCACCGTCAAGTCCAGTTCCAAAGGTAGACCTTGAACTGAGACTTGGTCCTGAGCCTCAAGGCTCATCATCACCGCCACCTGCAACTGATAAAAAAAGGTTCTTTTGAACCTTTTTCTTTCAAGTTTGCATATGCTTTCTGAATAATGAGGAGGTGCAATCCCCTTGGGGGTTGGGGCTAAAAGGTTTTTAGCTCTCGGCAAAATGTGCTTCCCATAATCGAACTTGTGTCTCACTTTTAAGTGGTTAAGGTGGTTTACCACCCACAAGTTTATTTTACATATTTAATAAACTATATATTGTTCTAAATTCTCTGTGAATCATGAATAATATATTTTATATATTCTTGGTAATTTCAAATTATGAAATTTGATTATTAGTACTTGTTTGATTATATATGTTTTTTAAGGGTATATTGGATTTTCTTTTTAGTGATTTTTTGTAGGTTTTTGGCCGGATTACATGCTTTTCATCGAAGAAGTCATCGCATAATGAGCTAAGACCAGCTCTGAACCCGAAGTAATCACTCAAGGGCAAATTAATTACCATATAACCACAAATTAATGTCTTTTGAAAGCATAGAAATGAATAATTAAGAAGTGCATAATAATTTATAATAACAAAGCCCTGATTATAATTTGTATTTTGAAATTAGGATTCATATATATCAGTTTTCATAATTTTTTGCACCCATCTCCTGGGATTCGAACTTAATGATAAGAATTCATTATATTGATTCAATCTTCACTTTAATTATTATGGAATTGTTCACATTAGTCAAAAGCAATGAAATAACATTGAATTTAATTGTCAAGTGTCGTTTCATTAGTCTTCTCGTTTATGTAAAAGTGAGAGGTCTCGAGTTTTCACCAATTTAGTGAATAAAAGTAGGACTACCCCCTGTTGTGTAGCCTGCAATGTTATTTCGGCTCATTGGGTCTTCCAATGAATAAAAAACATTGAATTTAACTATTTAGGGATGTACCATAATGAATTTGGGTGAAGTACTATTAGTATAAAAGAACATGGAAATGTTCAAAATTTTTATTTTTTCACAAATTTCATTTGAAGAAAAAAAACTAAAATGTGGAGGATTGAGATTTGCATATATTGTTAATTGTAATAATAAGAAGTAGGTCATATAAACTTCTACACAATTGTGTGGGCTTCAAACACAACTGCCAGATCACGGCAATGGTGGTTTCGTTTTAATCAAATGGATAATACACTTTCCTTACTCCCTCTGGTTTCTTTTTTCCTCATTTCCAGATCCGAAAACTCTTTTACTGATCATTTAGCCAATGGAGAGGTTGATAAGGCGGTCCCTTTTATGGTATGGCTTTGAACGGGCTTCTCTTGCTTCTCAAAGCTTTACCTTCTTTTGCTGCAGCAACTAGTTTGGTTATGAAAGAGTTCCTTGTAGTCTTCTCGCTTCGAAGTGTAAATTCTCGTACTCAAAAGATTCATTCTAAGAAGCTTAGAATAAAGCTGCAAAATATTTACAGATTTTGGAGTTTTTATTTTTACTATTGCATTGTGAGGTTGTTCCAGTTTTTTTCACTAAGCATTCTTATGCTAGGTTGAAGATCTTTGTATAAATCTAATATCTTCGGTTTAGTTGCCTTTGAATGTTAAATTTTTTCCCGGATTCGATAAAAATTAATAAAATATTTATTTGCGGATAAAAAAAAAATTCCACACAAACATTTATAAGCTAGCTATAGCAACCTGAAACTTGTTTCCATATTAGATTACTATGATTAGCAAACCTTTTTTATAGAAGGAAAATCTCCTATTCCTAGTAGTGAAGGCAAGTAATGCACATATGAATAGAATGAGGTGTAAGCAAGCAGCTAGATGTAGAGTTTCCTTTTTTAATTATTGATTAAACCATTCCATATATAATCTTCTTGCAGCTTGATTGAAGAGACAGTTAGCTTAATTGCAAACATATTTAGACGAGAATATTAAAGTATGACGGTATTACATGATTGATGTTGTAATAATCGTCGATAGTTTTAGGTGATGTTTGGTTGAGGGTAAGTAGACTAATGAAGTGCAACTTCCTGGAAAATGCAACTTCTCAAGAAATGCATAAAGTGCTTGTGTTTGGTTTGCATTATCAATTCTACTTTCTAGGAATGTTCAACTTCCTTTATACAAGGAAAATAAATCCCTTAGTTAAGTGTAATGAATTTATTAATTTATCATATTATATAAATTCACTCAAATTTATATTATGGATATCGTTGTAATTTATAATTTGAGAGCAATTCACCATCCAGGAAGTTGATTTGCATATCAAACACATACAAATAATACTTCCCGGTAATTATACTTCTTTGGATGCATTTTTTGAATTTGATTCATGTAAGTCTATCTAATTAATTAGAGTTATTGAAATTTAGAAAATTGAACCTCTAATTCTCTATGCTATTAGAAAAGCACTTGAATTACTTACCAGGTTTGAACCATTACTCTAGCTAGAAAGTGCATAATCATGGGGGTATAGAGAGTTAGAATTGTTTGGTCAATAAAATTTAACTTTTTTTAAGTTAATTTCTTTTTTCAAGAAAAATGTAAGATTAACCTTCAAGTATTCATTTAGAAAATAATTAAAAAAAATTAAATATGTCATGTGTTCATTGTTTATTGTTTGCAATGATTGAAAAGTAAAATGAATTTTCTTTTTTCATTTTACTCTTATTCATAAAGAGACATGTTAATTTAAATAACGATATTTTGTGTTTTTAAAAATAAAAAATTCATTAAATAAATTGAGTTCTTGTAAAAACATATTATTTTTACAATGATTTCAAAAAGATTATTTTCTAAAAACTTAAAAGACTTAGTTCCATAAATTAATTATACGTTTTCAAACATGAAATTTGACACAATAAATTAAAATTGTATCAATTCTGAGTTGCAAAATGGTAAAATAATATTGTTCAAAACGATGAAAAACTGATATCAAAAAAGAATTTTAATTCTGCAATAATAATATTAATTGTGCTTGTTTGAAATTGATGTTTACCTAGGAATCATTATTTCTTGTCTTCTTCAGTATTCTGGGAATAACTTGTAACCAGAGCTTAGTTATACTTCAGTAATTGGAGCACTTTTGAATAACTGGAAAACCTTGAAACAATACACATTTGGATCCAGACTTACAATTATTAACATCATTACAAACTTCAAATGACATCTCTGCATCAGAGTAGCTCAAAATACAAGATTATGTAAGTTACAAAACAAAAAATATTTGTCTCAATCATCATCAACATATATAGTTTCTTGCTGAAACAGGCCTCCAAACAGCTTCTTCACTTCTGTCTTTGATTCCGTCTCTTTTGCCTTCGCCTTTATCTTCGGTTCCTCTTTCAGTTTCAATGCTGGAAATTTTGGTATAGGTTTCTTAACAACAGCTTTCTGTCCTGGCAAAGCGCGAGCCTTGGCTTGTCCCCTTACAGTGGCAATCTGCACTTTGGTTTTTTCATTAGTTGTTTGAACTGCAGTGGCAAACTGGGAGCTAAGTTTTTCCCAGGATAAGCCTGCACTGATATCTTTTGCTCTATCTAACAGGTTTTCCATTGAAGTGCCTGCAGCTTCTGCCTTTTCTTGAGCTTCTTCAGCTTCTTGCTCTGAAAGCTTTTTCACTTCTTCTTCGAGTTTCTTTGCTGCATCAGCTGCTACACGAGCTTTCTCAGCAGCTACCCTTGCTTCTTCCTCGGCCTTTGCCTTAGCAACAGTTTCTGCATAAACTTTTCTCCTTCCGTCTTCAGGAATTGCACTAAATGAAATCATCATCGCAAAATTACAAAAATTTTTATTTGGAACAGAGTTGCAATTTATTTACAAAATCACAAAACTTGAATGACCTCTAATCAACACTTCCAACATAGTGTTTTTGCAACATCAGTTCAAATATCGATCTCAGACAGACGTTAATAAGATTATCCTAATCATTATTTACCTGAATAGCTCATCCACAGACTTTAAGGGTGCTGATGGATCAGTCGAAACTTCGACCACCTAATTTAGAATATAAAAAAAATACTATCAAGACAAGGTTGAAACATGTTACCTCTGGAAAGCAAGCATAATTATTCATTAAGTGTACCTTATTTTCTGCAACTGCTGTATTTGAGAAAACATCTGCCACTACTGATGCTATCTGAGACATTGCCACCTAAAAATGATAATTCAAAGCATAAAGAAGGATAAGGGAAACAAAGAAAAGATTATGCAGACAAGAAAAATAGAGAGTTTTAAATTAATGAAAACAGAAATAATTGCATACATTACATTACTTTGTAGTCGTCTGAACCCGCACTTGTCGTGCTTCCTTCAGCTGAAACAACAACATTATAGGAACGTTCTGGCGAAAAATCTTCTGTCAAACTTGTTTTGATGAAAGTATAGCTAACATCCGTTTCGATTACTTTCTGCAGGAACTCGGGTATGCTCAATGGCTGAGATTGCGAAAACAAGTTATTAAAGAATGATGTGATGCCATCTAGCACATTGTAAGTGGAAGAATTTGCAGTGTTCCCATTATAAATGATTGCAACATGACCAACTCCTGATAGCTGAGCACCCTGAATTACTTGCAAGGCATCAGATGCCGAGACTTCGGAATTAGGACCATTCTCTGCAGGACCAATTGTGACCACAACTTTACTTGCATTACCAATTGCTTTAGCAATTGATTGTGCATCTTCAAAACTTGATTCAACAGCATTTAGGCGTTTCGATTCTTCTTTTGATATGACCTGTAATATGCATATGTAACAGAGGGAATTATAAACATAAAATACAAGATATTAGCTCTCTTCACGCTCTGCAGAACATAATTAGCATATGAATCATCTTGAAACTTAAACATAATCCATTCAAGAATAAATTGGGCACTTAATTAGAAGTTCCTTTGAAAATGACTTCGACTGAAACTAAATTATTTGAGGAACAATAGCTATGGAACTGATGAATGCCAAGTCCTTATAATTACGAGGAACAATAGCTATGGAACTGATAAATGCCAAGTCCTTATAATTACGTTACCCAGCAAAAGTGCCTTCAACCATTGATATATCAAAACCAGATCAAACGACAATGTGATTGTACTAATTATTAAATTAACTAACCTTATACTCCGCAGCAAAACGAGCCAACTCCTGAGCAGCATCAAGCTCAGGAACTCCAGCTCTAACACTGAAACCTTGGCGCAACAACACTTGTGCAATCCGAATACCTGCCAGACCAGTAGCACCAGCTACAAAGACAGTTCCAGGATCCTTCCTTCTAGGAAAGGATAATCCAGACCCTGGTTTACTCACTACAGGAATCAAAGATCTCACATCAGGAGTCTTACCAAAGTTGAAACTAAAAGGGTTCGGATTCGAATTGACTGAGCCATCGGTTTTGTTTCCTTCTTCTGATGATGATGAACTGTCTTGTTTCGGCTTGCCAAGCTGAAATGGAGAGAAGGGTCCTGCTCTTTTGGCCAAGACCCTATTAAGTCTTGGGATCTTGACAGAGTGTTTTGAATGTGGTGGTGTTGTCAGGAGAAATGAATTAGAAGTTAGAATGGGAGCCATGAAATGGAGAACAGAAGCTTCTGTTGTTTTGATTATTATTATTAGTAGTAGTAGTAGTAGTAGTAGTAGTATTTTACGCTATATCACACACTATATCCATGATCTATTGCAATTTCTGTCTCTGGCAATTGCAGCAATTTTCGGTATGGATAATATCTAGATGTGGAGGTAAGAGACGGCTAGCAAATGGGGTATAGCCACGTAGTCATATGTTATCTTTTTTGAGAGGGTTGAGCACCAGACGTTTTGCTAGCAGAATTTAGTGTTTTGAACCACATAGAAAACGACAACGGCGAGATAAAGATTGATGAATGTGACAGTAAAACTTTGGATCATCATCTTAAAGCTTGTTTAAGCTTCCATCAATCATGACACTAGTTGATTTCTCTTTAACCACATTGATAGGATTAAACACAAAATATGATATTTCCTTTTAACCACATTGACAGGATTAAACAGAAAATGATAGCTTAAGGCACTATTCAACAATATAACTTCTATTTTCTATAATAGCTTTTAGAGATCGAAAAAAACGTTAAACACTCATAACATTTAGCGGTTAACTTTGAATTAAAATTTTTGACAATCGTATTTACTATTTTTTTTTCTCTGAATTCAACTAGTTAAATAATTTTCTTTTTTGTCACTTTAAATTAAATAATTAATTGAATAACTATTCACTATACAAACAGCTACAACAACCATTACTGCAACAACTAAACAATTACTAAAACAACTAATTACTAAAACAGCTAATATTGCCCAAAAGACCTTACATCCTCTTATGTTATTAGAGACAAAGTTTGCCCTTGAAACGGGTGGTCAACACTGAACGACATACAAGTCCTTTCACACATATTTAAGACTTAGTAAACGCAATTCGACAAGAGCAAATGTTTTAAAAAATGAAAAATAGTTAATGTTAATCCCGAAAAGAGCCTAGATAGGAAGACATCAGTGTTCTCCGACCTGAACCTTTGGAGAACAATTTGGCAGCCATAGATTCAATCATCAAACCAGAAATCAATATAAACAACCATCAGTTTACGAATAGGCAAAAGAAGATACTTTGATATTACTTTCATACAACCATATCTTAATACAACCCAAGAAAAATCCATCAAAGATTCCAAACTTTTGAGGTAGCACATAGGTTGATCAGACTCAAGTTAGAAGATAATAAATCAGGTTGGCCAATTGCCATAGTCATCCATAAACAATTGTCAAGGTAGCAATGAAAATTTACAGCATCCATAACAACGTACATAAAAAAGATGCTGAAGTAGAAAGAAAATGAAAATGGAAATGTAACACTTCAAATAACAGGCATTTTATCATTCAAATTGGCATACATTCACTTCAGTACTCATATTATTGCATCTAATCCCTGCATTTCAACCACCATGTGATACAAGAGCCTCATAAAAAATGTAGCAAAATGCCAGGGTAAAAGTTGCCACTTGCCAGAATCAATACACCAGCAAGGAACAGGAGGTGAATACTAGAGTGTAACTGATAGAAAATCACTTATTTTGTCAAATAAATCTAAAATTAATTGATCATCAAATTTCAAATGAAGATTAACTTCTAAACAAGTTCAATTCATTTTTATGTTCTAATATATTTTAAGCCATGCCTAAAAGATAACAAAAGGATCAGAAATAAATAACAAAATCATTCCTCATGCTGTTGAGCAATGCCCAACACAATGTTTACTGAGGAACAGAAATTTGAAACACCAGCGCCCTATTGTGATAAGCAATATCAAATAAATCAAAATTAAAAAACCCGTGAATAGAAACCTTCTTCATTATTGAGCTTAAGTATAGTTTTAACACCACTCAACATACCAAGACAAAAGTACTTCCAAAAGTCAATGCAACGCAAAGAAATAACCTACAATAAGACATAAATGCCTTTCATTTCCACTGCACCTCTAATAAAACCAGCAATACTCTACCATTACTATACCAATATTTGTTGTTGGAAAAATATGTCATTAAGCACGTTATTGCATCAATAACATAAAATATCACGACACTCAAAGTCAAAGGTTGACAAAGACAGACAAAAACAAGTCGATGCCACCAAAAATCATGTTCAGAAAGTTAAATGCAGAACTGCTCCGAAAAACTTGGACCCATATGTTCGCCTAAAGCCATAAAGATTTTGATACTTCGAATATTTATTGGTAACAACAAGAAAAAGGATTACATGGTAAACTATCTAACCAATTCCTACTCTTAAATGAAATATTTGCATATGCCAAAGATGGTCAAAAACCAATATTTCAGAAGTGTAAGTTATCTACATCTTAAATTGCAAAGCAAGTATTGGCCTTACAATACAGATCTAACTATTGCAACATACATACATGAGAAAGCCATCAAATAAACTCTAGGCAGATATCGGGATAAGACGAGCTCGAGAACAATAGCACCATGGAGAATTTTAGAAAACAAAGTCCCAGGAACTCTCAAGCTGCCAATCATACAAGTTAAAAGGAAACAAAATGAGAAATCAACTGCTAAAACCAAGCAGGTTAACCATAGAGTTGGAGCAAAAAAACACAATAAAGAATGATAACACTTCACCTGAATTTGTTCAAAATGATCCGCACACTGTCTGCTCAATCAATTCAGCTAGTTGACAATAATTTCATCTATCAATTGGACCAGAAAGCCAATTTTAGTATCAACCACATATTAGTTAAACTGGGTAGAGACCGGCAGGTTTATTATTTGCAGTAAGAAACATGTCTGAGTTAATATTACAGACCTTATTCTCATAATACTGAAACTCATTGCTAAAATAGAAGCTAGTAAGTAAATGTTTCATTAACGAAATGCAATAATTTATAAAACAAATTACAAAAAGTAAGCACCAGTGAGGCAATGAGATGCTTCGATCTCCATATCCCTGTTAATAACTGTTCTCATAATTTCAAAATTAATAATTGAAAGAAAGATTCCCAGCCAAGGGAAAACAATTATTACCAGAAAATCTAGCAGCAAGATCTGCATAAAGTCGCACTCATGAGAATAGCTCAGGAAACCCTCATTTATCCATTTCAGCTGCCAGCAGTAAACAGACTACATTAAAATAGTTACCAATATAAAAAAACTCCCGTTCAAAACAAAAGTCCCTAGAAAATATGTAAAGAACAACTTAACAAGAAAAAAATAATAATGTTCATTGCAGGCAACAATTAGTGATTAATGCCCTTCTTTGCTTTAAGTGATTCAAGAGCCTTCCTCCTCAATTCAATCTCAAGTTTCTTCTGCTCAGAATGTGAGTCTTCATTGTCACTTGGATGAGAATCCTTCCTCTGTTCATCATCAGAAGAATTAACATCACTTAGATCCTTCAATCTGAGGTTCTCTGCACGCCGTTCTTCCTTTCTACGACGCCGTTCCTCACGCCTCCGACGTTTTTCTTCCTTCCGCAGTTTCTTTTCTTCCTTCCTCCTCCTCTTAGCCTCTTTCTTTTCTTCAATATCAGAGTCATAGCTGTAATCATCATCTGAAGCCACTTCTTCCCTGTGCGACCTTTTATGCTTTCGCTTTTGCTTACTTGTGTGCTTGTCACTATCGTCAGAACCAGAATCAAATGCACCACCACCATTACTGTGATCAGCCTTCTCAACCAACATCTGCGTAGTTTCTGATTTATGGCGTCTACTGCTGTCCTTAATGTCGTTTGTACGTGAATGCTTTTTCTGATCAGATTTTTGGACCTCTCCTGCATAAGACATTTGTATGTCCTTGTGTCTCTCCTCCTCAGGAGTTACCAGATAATCCCCCTTCCGAGAACCTTTCTCACTGTCAGGAACATGTAAAAATTAGAGTTCATGCATACAATCCATTTGATCAAAAGCAGTAGGAAAGATGCGAATCCTGAAAGAAGAATAACCTCTTTATTTCCTGGTCTTTCTTTCTTGTTTCCCTAATATCAAGACGGCTCCGAGATTCAGTAACCAGACGACCAACCTCTCTTTCAGGAGAATGCTCATCCTTTGAATGGACCTTGACAGGAGAATCTTTCTGCTTACTCTTGATAGAAGAATGCATGGATTGTTTCTGCGAATACCTGGACTTGTAATCTCTGCTATCCATGAAAGAAAAACAAGAGCGACTTAAAAAAAATAAATAAATAAATAAATAAATAAATACCTATCAAGAAAGACAAATTAATTAGAAAAACTGACTCACTAAGAAGAACCAGAATTTTAAGAATCTATCAGAAATTGTTAAATTAAAATTCTAACCGAACATTATCAGCATCTCCGTCCTCTTTGCTAGATTCAGGACTTCCTTGATGAGGTTTCTGCTCCCTTGGTTTCTGTGTAGGGCTTAAGCTTTCATCACATGTGATTTGCGCCCTTTTTTGCCTCACAGGGCTAGCAGATTGACTAGAAGACCTACAATAGCAGCCAAAATGAGTTGGGGCACACAGTACAGATATCCAGCAAGTGATCAAAAGTTCATAAACATGTTGGCCGTTCGAGTGTTGGATGAACTATTAAAGCAGCTTTTTTACCTATTTCTTCTCACTCTTAGTTGCCTCACAGCGCTCTCATAAGGACTTGTCAACCTTCAGTGTCAATCCAAAATGAGTGTAACATATACATCCAATACTCAAAAAGAGAATAAAATATGACAAGCTAACAAGAATAAGGCATTGATTAAATTACAAATACCTCCTGTCCTGACTAGAATACCTCGTCCTTTCAAGTGATGGAGATGGTGACCTCTCTGGTGAAGGAGACAAAGATAACGGTCTATAACGCAAATCCTTGCGATCTTTTGCATCTCCTTGTGGTGACCTCAAAGAATTAGGGGGTCTACGTGGCACAGGAGATGATTTATCCCGCATACTGTAACAGAAATGTAAACGACAATACTGTCAAGGTAACAAGTTTTAATGTAAATAAAGGTAAAAGGAAGTCCCCAACAAAACTATGAACATACCTAAATCTTTCACCAGGGGATTGAACAGGTGACCTCCTACGTTCTTTTGAAGATCTCCTTACAGGTGAAGGAGACCTATGCTGGACAGGCGATGGACAACTCGATCCATAAGGTGAAGGAGATCTCCTACGGGGAGGAACCGGTGACCTCCTGCGGGGAGGAATTGGTGACCTGTGCCTTGGAGATATAGACCTCCGACGTGGAGTGGATGGAGACCTTTGATACCTCTGGCGAAGGAGAGAGGGTGATCTACGTCGAACAGGGGGAGATCTTCGCCGCACAGGTGAGGGAGATCTACGCTGCACTGGTGACGGTGATCTACGCCTCACTGGTGACGGTGATCTACGCCTCATTGGTGACGGTGATCGTCGTCGTCGAAGGGGGGAGGGCGATCGTCGTCGTCGAATGGGGGAGGGCGATCTTCGGTGTCGAAGGGGTGAAGGCGATCGACGGCGTCGAAGGGGTGAACGTGATCGACGGCGTCGAACTGGTGAACGTGATCGACGGCGCCGAACAAGTGAAGGAGATCTACGGCGAACTGGTGAAGGTGATCTGCGTCGATATGGAGAATGCAATCTGTGTCGCACTGGAGATGGTGATCTTTGCCTCAAATACAATGATCTCCTCCTTGAAGGAGAAAGGGAGTTCCTAGATGAATACCTCCAATGAGGTGAAACAGATCTTTTTTCTGGTGAGCGATAAACCCTATCAGATGAAATGGATCGCCTTCGTGCTTCTGGTGAGCTTGACAGACTCCTTGACTTGCGTCTATCACTGAGATACATATTACTGTATAAGACACTACAGTTTAAAAGATAAAGGAAACAAACAATAGAAAGAAACGTCCAAGTTATTCCAGCAATCCTTCATTAAATGTTATGTCATCACATGCACTTAACACCCAACTCTAGTGTGCCAACCAAACTAAGTAAATAGATAAAACTACAAGCCAATAAATTGAATGACTAGAATTAACCATCACTAGCATATATGACACACCCTGAATGACTTCTTGAATTTGAAAATGACCTGCTGTTCCGTGAAGGCGAGCCCCTGCAGAAGTCACTCAAAATATAGTAACAATCATGTTCAAATGCAAGCCAAAAGGCATAAACAATCTTTACAAATGAGAGGATAAATTACCTAGGGGGAGAATATGAGCGATCGGCTGACTGGGGAGATTGAGAAGACCTGCAAAACTTTGACCATTAAGAGGGATAGTCTTTCATGATTCCATGTCTTAGAGAAACTTGATGCTCTAAACTATTGAAAAAGAAAAAAAAAAATTCTATATCTCAAGAATCAAGTGTCCACAAAGGAAATGCTAACGAGATTAAACTCAACATACATGGTGCTTACTGTTTTTTGAAACGATAAAAAATGGTTGGCACAGCAATCAGCATCCCATATGATTAATTTGTTTAAGTATTCAATTTTGACAAAATGTTTGGCTGCCTTTTATTTTATAGAGTGCTTTATGCAAGCAGAATATTATAGTCATTAGTTAAGTTCCTGTTGCATTGATTCACCTATGCCACAGCCCATACAGATTACATGTTTTCATCTCCTTGAGGAGAGGTTGCACAGATTCTAGAGAATCAGAAAGCTTCTATTGATGTTCAAGTATCAATTAGAGAGTGGCCAAGGTGAACCGGACTATCATCCTGTGGGATGTGGCAGTAGTGGCAAAGGAAGAGTCAACTAATCACTACCATGAACCTAAAAGAATTCAAATTTACAGACTGATCCCAAATTGAACAACAAAGGGGGGAAAAAAAGAGGCACTTACAGATGAGAGAATATCCAGATCCATAATCCATTGTTACATAAAAACACTAAAATGCAACTGAGACTGGTGCAAATATCAGAGTATAAAGCTTTTGTTCCTAACCAGAAACAAATACCCAATACCAAGTAGGGATAAACACATTGCATGCTTGTGTTTGGTAAAGCATCCAATAATACTATTGACATGCAACAGCATAACAAGCTGTAGTTGTAGTACTGTTGTATCCAAGACATGGTCAAAAGCACATAGTATATTCAATACGGAACAAGCCATAGTTGAGACACATCAATGTGATAACATCATCACATAGAGCATATACTTCAAATCTATTTCATGTGCTATACTTTCAACAAACTGCACAATCAGATATTTAACATATTGCTAAAGGGAGATCTATCCACTAACCAATTAATTAAGTCTTTTATGTTTTTAATTAGTCAATTGGGAAAGTGAGGAACATTGGAACAGTAAGCAGTAGCACAATAAATACAAGATTAGAATGCCTAACCTGCTTCTTCCTCTCACTCCATTCCTATTTTCAGTTTCTTTCTCATCCTTCGGATCACCAGTTGAACCCTTCTGCATATATTTTGAGGTTGGATCCACAGCAGCAACGTTGGCCTTTGTTTCAGCACCTCCGTCCTACAGTAGTTTGAGGTAAAGGACATGAACCCAAATAATTGCAGAAGCTAGCTGAATGTCATGAAAACACAGACTAAGTTAAAACTGGAAACACAACTCTAGGGAATCTAACTCCGGCATGAATAAGTTAGCATTACCATCTTCTTCAATCTCTCTCGGTCAAGTTCTTTACCCTCCCTCTCTTTCTTCTTCTGAATTTCATTTGTTATCCTATCCATCTCTGCCTGCAAACCATGTTTTAACATTATAACCGGGAGGAAAGAGCAACCCAAACCATTAAGAGGTATACCATGACATCAGATTATTCAATTCAGACCTGCTTTTTGCGGGTTTCCTCTTCTTTGGCATCCAAGAACTGCTGAGGAACACCACTTTCATTCTTCTGTGCACTGAGAAGAAGTGTCCAAAGCTCTTTCATAAACTTTCCAGTGTTCTTCTCCATAAATCCAGTAAGTGATATTTGAACCTCCTTTCCATTCACTTCCTGCAATAGAATAAAAAACACAGCACATTTAAACAACAGGATGAATGTGAACTCAAAAAGTGCCAAAATCTAAGAAAAACAGACAACGATACTATAGCATAATTCCACTCAGCTGAAATCTGGAAGTGATAGGGTTTTCTATGCAAACTTAAGTCCATTCCTAAAGGCAAGTATGTGCACAACTATATTAGTACAGGCCCAGAAAAGAAAAAGGTTTCATCTCAAACAGATAAAAAGAGAAACATTAATTAATTAATGAAAACCAAATAGACTAATAAAGTCATTCAATACCTTTGCATCAAGAAGACCATAAATGAAGTTTATAAGAACTTCATCTTCAAACCCAAGAAGCTCTGTCACCCTATTAGCAATCCATGGTCTAATCACATCCATTTTCACTTTCCTCATGTCCACCTACCAAAACACAAACACAGTTTATACTGATAAATAGTGATACCAATAGAATTAAACCTCAATCTAACACCATCCAGCTCCAACTTCAAATACACTAAACAATGGTAAACAAACGAACCAGATGTTCCAATTCTGGAGCAAACTTCTGCGATTTCAACAACTTGGCTTGCTTGTTAGAGAATCGAGTGTCTTGATCAGCAGAAGTACCCTAAATATACAGACAACACAAACATGTAACTGCTAATTCAAATTCGAGATCCATAACTAACGAATTTGAGTTCAGATCTAACAACTACAGAAGAACCATGCCATACAAGACTTACCCGGAAAAACCCGCCCGACATTTTTTAGGGTTTTGGCGAAAGATGTTGTTGTGAATTAAAACAGAGTCGTAAGATAAGAGGAGTGACTATGCAATATATAATTATCAGAGGATGCGTAGATTACGCCATGGATTGGATACTGTGAACAAAAGCGAATGAAGAAAATTTGGAGAAGAGAAGAGTCGTTTATGGCTGTTGTCTCTCTCTCTCTCGACGCTTCAACTGTATGTGTAGATTCCCTGGTCGCGTCGCGCTAATGCGAGTGGGAGAGATTCGTCTTATGACTATTTTGCCCTAACCCTAATTTCTGAAATGGAAAAATGAGAAATTAATTAAGATATTAGTTGGGCCAAAAACATGAATATGACCATATACATAGACGTGGGATGGGATGAACAGTTTTTGAAACCAGACCCAATATCAAATCGATTTGATAATTTAGTCCGTATTGGATCGGAAAATTTAATTCCATTGTATTTTTTATAATTATTTATATTAAAATGTATAAATTAAAAATTTTGATTCATAAGTTAAATTTGTGATATCTAAATATGCAAATAAGCAAATAATTAGATGATAAAAATATCCTTAGTAAATTATTGTAAAAATGATTTTATTTATGAGAGGCTCAATCGGTTAAAATAGCGTTAGATGATAATGTAAATCTATTATACTCTTTATTAGTATCAATTAGGTATGTAATAATCATTGCAAATCAACCCAGGAAAGAACTATTCAAATCAAATCAGAAGTCAATAAGAAATATTTTGTGTGTAAAATGAGATTTTCAACAAAAAATAAAATAAACAGAATATTATAACTTTTGAATAAATTTTTAAATTTTTTTACCCTTATTTTAAAAGTCTTAATTTATGGAGAAAATAAAATGGTATTATTATAAATATACATTTTTACCCTTTACAAATGTAATACAATAAAATTGATAAGTCCAATTCCTTAATAAAATAACAAATCCAACTTATAAAACCCAATTATCTTAATTATGAATTGAAATATTAAAAATATAATTTTTTTTTTTCGAAAATATTGAAATGCAATTCTCTTTAAAACAAAATGTACTTAATGGGAAATAAAAAATTATATTGAACCACATTAAAAATGGGCAATAGGTAGAGACTCAATGGTCAATAAAAGATTGAACCAATGGTCCAAAGGTATGGGGCATGAATTATTGTAATTTGATTGTCAACCTTACATTTTCCCTGTCCGATATTTTCTCTCCAAAATGGGAAGATCAATAATTTGTTGGCTCCAAGAACAAAACACACCCGTTTAGATTAGATTTTAAATTTGAAAACTCTTAAAAATATTACATGCTTAATGTATTTTTTCTTATTCTTACAAAACATAGAACAAAAACTTCAATAATAAAACATATGATACCTACGAATTATGGTTTGGTCAGCAACGCAGACTGGACACGTGAAAAGAACTCTTAACAGAATTTATACTCTCCGTTTATGATGACATTCAATGTTTTTTTTTTTTTTTTTTTCATGCTTAATGTTATTTTTTTCTTAATTCTTACAAAACATAGAACAAAAACTTCAAATAATAAAACATATGATACCTACGAATTTATGGTTTGGTCAGCAACGCACGACTGAACACGTGAAGAACTCTTAACAGAATTTATACTCTCCGTTTAATGATGACAATTCAATGTTTTTTTTGTTTTTTTTTTGGTTCATATTAATTCTTCTCCTCCTGTTTTGTTATTCACGTTTAAACTTATCGCTTTATATCCTCCTTTCCTCTTAAGTTTTTGCATTCTTTTTTTTTTTTTTTTTTTTTGGTTCATATTAATTCTTCTCCTCCTGTTTTGTTATTCACGTTAACTATCCTTTATATCCTCCTTTTCCTCTTAAGTTTTTGCATTCTAAATGATAAAGACTCTCCGTTTTTCACTTTCCTTTAGACTTCTCTTATTTCATCCTTTCTTTGTCTTGTGTTTTTCTGTCCCTTTATTTAATTTTCAGCTAACTCTTAATAATTTAGAGATTTTCCTTCTTTGAGCTAATACTATTTATGAGCTAATATTTAAACTAACCTTTAATTAATTTTGAGTTTAATATTTAAATTAAGCTAGCCTTTAATTAATTTATTTTAAACTAATATTAAACTAACATTTAATTAATTTTGAGTTAACCTTTAAAATAAAATTTAAGCTAAGAGTATCCATAAAAGCCCGATATTTATATATTTATCTTAAAAAAAATAAATTGAATCGTTAGAAATTCATCAATATTAAATTAATCAAAGAATTAAAAGATTTTCGTTATCGAATATAAGGGTAAAAACTGAATATTAACAATTTGATTTCTTTTAGAGAGAGTATTAAAAAAAAAAAAAAAGTGAAAGTCAGTATAGTTCCTCGTTCTCTAAAACTGAAAAAAAGAAAAGACGACGGCAAAGGGGATTTTTCCTTTCTCTTTTTATCTGCAATTCATGGTCAAATAAAACAAGCAAATTGTTCTCCATGACAAACTTCATCTTACTCAGCAATCCGTAAGACCAAATAAACATGAGGAACTCAATTGTAATTTTTTAATTACAATTTTTTAAAAATGTAGATACTTAATTTATAAACTTTTTTCATTTAAAAATAAAAATTGAAAATTTCAGCACCCAAAATATAATTAATATTAATTTTAATGTTCATTAAATGGTCAATCGGACTACAAACTCCTTTAGATCTCTCTTTGAATGGATTATGACATTAGGTCATTGTTTTGAGATGGTACCATAGTTGTGTTCGAAAATAATTTTTTAAGTAGTTTTTAATATGTTAACTGGTTAAAACATCTATTTTTTATGACATTTAATAATTACTTTTTCTGTTCAAAAATATAAGTTGTCTTGGTTTATTATTTTGTCCCAAAATATAAGTCATTTTGTATATTTTAAGAAGTAATAAATGATGTTCCAACGTTATTTTTGTTTACACTAAATACAATAAATATTTCATAAACAATTATTGGTTTTGAGATAAATGATAATTTGATCAAATTATCATTGAATTTGTTATAATTTAGGATAATTAATTGCTTCCTTAATTTTTGTGTAAAAATCTTAAACGATTTATATTTTGGGAGATAGAGAATAAATATTAAGATAGCGTTTTATAAAAAATTAATCACATATCTTTTAGCGTTTCATAAAAATCTATTAAAACAACTAACGTCTACACGCTACTGAATATTAAAAAGCTACTAAGATAGTTACTAAGTATTAAAAACCAACGGACCTTACGTCTTTCAATTATTTTATTTTGAACTTGTTTTCTCTTTGTATTAAAAAAAAAAAAAAGAAAAAAGAAAATTGAAGGTTGATCTGGACCGCCCACAATAAGTGGAACCCACAAAAAAACACATCACTGGCGGTAACGGATCAGTATAAGTAAGAAGTGGGATTAACACAAAACAATCAATCAGCGTCGATTACCCCCGGTCACAGCCATACTCCCTCCTCCCTCCTTTCCCTCTCCTCAATCCTCATTTGGGCAAAAAAATCTAGACCGCTGCCAGATCTTGACACGTGGACCCACTCCATATAATCGGATGCAAACCTATTTATATTCCACTCTTTATTCTTCTTTCTGGTCCGCTCCTCTCTCTTTCTCTCTCTCTCTCTGATCTCTCTCCTTGCCGTTCTCTCTCCCTCTTTGTATACAGACCCATCCCTCACATACCTAAACCCTAGACTTCACCTTCTCTAACAATCTTTCTTTGTCTTGAGTTTTTCCTTCAAGATTGATTTTAATTTTCCCGAGAAAATAAGAAGGAAAAAAAATTAATTTTGTCGAATTGAACTTTTTTTTTTGACGGGGGAGAGAATCGAGGAAATGGCGACATCGTCGGCCACAAGCACGGTCTACATCCATGTAATCGAAGACGTCATTAACAAGGTCCGTGATGAGTTTATCAACAACGGCGGTCCTGGCGAGAGTGTCCTTAATGAACTCCAAGGAGTAAGCAATCTTCTCATTTTTCTCTCTTTCTGTTACTTGTGTGTTTATATTTTTGGTTTTTGGTTTTCTGTTAGGAGTTTTGCCATTTTTCTATCTCGTGGATGTGATTACTGTATTTGGCGTATTGTTTTGGATCTGATATTGAGTTCTAGGGTTTTCAGATTTGATATTTGTTCTAGATTTTGGGAGTTCAATTTTAGCTAAACTTTTAATTTCTCTCTTTATTTTGTTTAGATTTGGGAGATGAAAATGATGCAAGCTGGTGTGATATTGGGTCCAATAGAGAGGTCGTCAGCTGCTAAGCCTGTACCTGGTGGTCCTATCACTCCAGTCCACGATCTTAATGTACCTTACGAAGGGCCTGAGGAGTATGAGACTCCTACTGCTGAGATACTTTTTCCCCCTGTGAGTCGTTGCCCCTCACTCTGATTACAATTATGATGTCTATCTGTAAGTAACTGAGGAGATTATTAAACTGAGAAAAGTGATTTTTTCTCGGCCTTTATGTTGAAAATTAATATAAAATTATTTAATTCTGTGTATGAATTCTGAGTAACTCAAATGGGCATTTTTTTTCTATCTGCAGCATGATTGTTATATATGTTAATTCTATATGACTATTGAAGTGAATCTCAAGTTTAGTTATTATGGCTTTTATAATTTTGATATGGGTTTCTGGAGTTGTAGACACCGCTTCAAACTCCCATTCAGACACCACTACCAGGAAGTGTGCAAACACCTTTACCAGGAAATGGTCAGACTCCTTTACCAGGAAGTGCAGACAATTCCTCTATGTATAACATTCCTACTGGACCTACTAGTGAATATCCCACTCCTGTTAGTGATACTGGTGGCAGTACTGAGGCAAAGCCTGGGAGGCCTAGTCCTTACATGGTAGGCACTAACTTGAATGCCTAGTTCAGCTTTTCAGAACTTTTATTACTCTAGTTCTTTGTTCACGCTATTAGCAGCCCAGTGCCTGCTCCCTTATCGTGCTTTTATGAGTATGTCATTGTGACTTTTCCCCTGTTGTCTTTCTGACAGCAAGCTCCTTCTCCTTGGATGAATCAAAGGCCTCCTCTTGATGTTAATGTTGGTAAGTTTCATAGTATATTGCCTCTTACTTTCTATTAAATGGTTCTTAATAATGAATTCGATGGTATTGTAGCTTATGTGGAAGGACGAGAAGAGGCAGACAGAGGAAACTCTCATCAACCCCTGACGCAGGTAATTGATGTTGCTTATCTATATTGAACCTGTGTAGTTTATTGCTCGAATCTATTGAAACTTCTGATTAAAGTGTAGTTCTGTGTGTTGAGGAAAATTCCTATTCAAAAAGATCTAAAAGCTAAATTTTTATCAGTGTACTTTGAAAATATTGGTCTTTCTCATCTAAATAATAAATACTGCTGTTACTGTAGATTGTTATTGGTTATCAGTTTTAATATTGGCAAAATTCCAGGACTTCTTCATGATGTCTTCTGGAAAACGCAAGCGTGAAGATTTTGCAACTCAATTTAACAATGGTGGGTTCATACCTCAGCAAGATGGAGCTGGGGATGTCCCCTCTGAGGCTTTACAGGTTGAGTCGGATTTTCTTTCTTTTGTTTTTGATATATGCTAACCTTTATCAATAAAAGAATTTCTGTCAGCCGCCTGCATTTCCCTGTTTTGTGTACCTTTTTTTTTTATTCTCTATTAATTCAAATATAGAATTTTTTTCACTGTTAGGCTTTTAGGGTCCTCATGTGTATGGGGTTCTATGAGTTAAGTGGCGTATATTTTTTTTATTTCTGGTCATCACAGTGTGTTGATTTGCTTGCATTTAAAAAAGTACTGTAGGCTTTGTCCAAGATGCATTGAACTTTGCTGCCCACTAGCTTCTGCATGATGTTGTGCCTTGTATTCTTTCAACTCTTGTATCCTGTTCATTGTGGGAGTCTTGGGATCTTCGATACATTTTCTCCTTTTATGGGGGAAATTTTTTGTGAACAATTTGAGTGCTGGATTATTTTGTGTGAGGAGGAGGAGATGATGAGCACACATCATATATTGAGGACGCATATAAGTATGCAAACTGGCAACTTGTGTGCTTTGTGTTCTTTGTGTTCTTTTCATGCAAATTTCACCCATAAAAAGAGAACTTTTTAAGTATAGGTCATCTGAATACAAATTTGAAGTTCTTTTTTTCCTTTTGGATTCTTTCTTAATTCCCCAACACCCCCCCCCTTTTGAAATTTGTTTCATTTATCTTATTATATCATCTTTCTTTACTTCATTCATGTGTTAATGAGTTGGCCTTCGAATTTCCTGTTTCGCAAAATGCCATTGTCAAAGTATTGAATTTTTTTTTTTTGAAGTTCGATTGGATCTATGCCATTAATATACAATGTCATGTTAATGTAATTACTAATTGGGATCTCGATCCAAACAGGGCCATTAGACCTTCACTGCATCACCCGATTCATGTGCTTTAAGGAGCTTCTATGGCTCTTAAGACATCTCTGTTTATGGTTAGAAAACTGTGGTGGACATCTATTTATTGAATGAAACTACCCTCATCCCGCCTTTCCTCTATTTTCAACCTGACTATGATCACTAGTGCCTAAACTCCTGGGAAGTGGTAGATATTAAAAAAGTGGATTTTTGGGCTTGTTAATGATATAGCGTTATAAATCCCACTTTTGGATTTTTAAAGCACACTGGCCTTGTTCAGGCACTAGTATAAGAGCCCTTGAATTATTAGAAGGATTGATCTTTCATGACAGTGAATGAATGATAGAAGTGCAATATTTTCCCTATAGTTTCTTGCTCATTATGAAGTGCTTTTTTCTTGACTTTGCATATGACCAGCATGTTTTAATATACCTAAACTATATCACAGTTTTTTATGAATAAACCAAGTAATGTCCATCAGGTTATTTCTATGATTATTTATTTATTTTTTGACTTCATTGTTCGAAGTATTCTAAATGCTATAAGTTTTTAGTTGTTAAACGGCTGGTGGAACTGTCTTTTAAGCTTGGACCAATTTATTTCATCATCTGGATGCATAAATTTTACTTTTTCCTTTACTTTCTAGTGTGAGCACCTGTGTAAAACTTCCATCAGATAATATTCAAAATTGGTCATTTGGTTTATACCTGACCAGTCCGACAAGCTTATTCATCTCAGTTTGATCATTTAGCTGTGTTCTTTTGCCTGTCAAGAAATTCTTTTGAGTAAGTGAAATTAATTATATGCTAAATGATCCAAGGTTTCATTTGAATATGTAGAGATTTGTAATAATTGTGTATTTGGATTTAACATCATGACAGTTTTCACTTGTAATATACCTTCCATCATCCATTTTCTTTTATATATCTGCAATTCTGTCACTTGTTGTCGATGAAAGTTTGCCTAGACTTTAATTCCGGGGATAGCTGGTCTTGCCTGAGAAACGAAGCTTTTTACCAGTACCTTGTGTCTTTTGAAGCCTGGATATGTTTGTTAGTTGAGTGATTAGAACTAGACAGTCAAATTGAAGTAGTGAAATTTTAATTGTTCTTTGTTGGGAATGTACATATTGCTTTAGGTAAAGGTCAGCTATGTTATATTTGATAAGGTATATAGGTAAAGGTATGCTATACTTGACTTTTGAGGGAGGGGGGGGGGGGGGGTAAAGGTCAGCCTATGTTATATTGATAAGGTATATAGGTAAAGGTATGTATACTTGACTTTTTGAGGGGGGGGGGGGGGGGGGGTTGATTTAGTGGCAGTGGGTGGCAAGGTTGCTTTGTTACTGATTCCATTAGGAACCGCAGATTATCATCTAGAGACAACTGTGTTTGAGACTGCCTGGTATTATTTCAACTGGTTTACATAGTTTTGCCTTTCATTTCATTTCACAAAGATAATAGAATATGTGAACAAAAGAACACAACTCAGAAAATTTGACTCCAGTTGGCTGCCCTTCAACCAGTGATCTCCAGATGAATGATTCACAACCTTCTTACGGTTGATGTTCTGGCTTTTAATAACCCATACATTCTTAAGGAATTGGCATGTTCTGGCTGGCTGCTAATTTTTTTCAGTGACTTCCAGGATTGGGAAATAATCTTTTTGGAATGGATGGTAATACAATGCTGGGGGATAAAATCACTTTCTGTTGTTTCCTAATGGCGACAACATTTAAGCTCAGACATGCAATCATTATAATTTATCCCTGGTCTATCCATCTGAACCCTCAGCTAACTCCTCAATAACATGTCAAAATAACTATTTCCATAATTTGCAACCATATCGTCATTCTGAAAGGGCAAGAGATCAGTCATCATATCATTATATTAGCATCACTGACTGTCTTGTGTGAACTGTATGGTAGCACCATGAATATGGAAATATTTAGATCTTGTGTGTACTGTCACTCTTCTAGAGGCTTGCTTAATATGAGAAATTTGTGTATATCTTGAATCATGTTATGGTAAATTTCAGGCAAGCCAAGGAAATGGTTCCCTTGGTAGGTGTGACACAATCACCAGTGCAAATATAGAGATCTTGTCGCATGCAACGAGGCGGGTTTTGAAGATTCCCCAACTGGATGGGCCGATACCGGATCCTTATGATGATGTGCTTTCGACTCCCAATGTAAGTAATTGTCTCTGATGAAATTTCCCTGGAACACCTAGATGAAACCTAATACATGTTTGTCTAACAATTGAAAATTATTTTGAATGAATATATGCATCAACAGAAGGCTGCTCTTGGATATACCTGTTTGTCTAATAATCAAATTTCCTTCTCTGTAAAAGGGTCAATAAATGATGGTCTATTCTTTTTTGGGTTCTATGAGCGTAAATGGGGAAACTTCCTCCTTCATCGCTAACTAGAGTGCCTAAACAAAAAGGAGGGAACTAGTGTTGGTCCTGTTGCACGGCCTCGTGTTTCTCACCCCATATCCTGTAACATTTGTACTAATTTTGAATCCAGCAACAAAAAGAAAAATGAATGTTTGTTGATATTCTTGGTTTTCTAATCAAGTGACCTATGAGATTCATATTGCCATCAGTTCTTGAGTACCTACTTGTCTGAAGTTTGTTCATGGTCACATTGTTGCACACATCTTACCATCCTTTTTTGGTGGCACCTGTACAATTTGCTAAAAAAACTGGTCTGAAATGAATATTTTTGAATTTGGTGACCCAGAAAAATAGCAGGCTAATCTGGAAAGAGGCTGAGCAATTCATTATCCACGTGTTGCATAGAATTTCTTTTTTGAAAAAATTTCTAGTATTTTGGTGAAGATATTCATTTATTCATTTGCTGACTGAATATTTTGTTTTTCTTCTTTTTAACTGTTCTTTCCTTCAAGATATACAACTATCAAGGAGTTGTCAATGAAGACTACAACATTGCAAACACACCGGCACCTAATGGTAAGTTGGTGAAGTACATTTTGATGGTTATGTTTCTTTTCCAATGGCTACTTTAGCCTCTGTATTTTGCGTCTGAGAGAGATATAACTAAGCTGTATATTTTTGGTTTTGCAATCTGCCCTCTTCCCAGACATACAAGCAAGCACACCTGCTGTTGCCCCTCAAAATGATGCTGTAGATGATGATGATGATGAGCCGCTGAATGAAGATGATGACGACGATGATGATTTGGATGATGTGGAGCAAGGAGAGGATATGAACACTCAGCATTTGGTTTTAGCTCAATTTGATAAGGTAGAATTAATACTGATGACAAATTGTAGGGGGTCAAGAGTAACAAAGTTAAATGAAATTATGAAAATTAACTTCAAGGTTGTAGGGGTCAGGAGTAAGAAGTTAATTGAAATGATGAAAATTTGTAGACTTCAGGTGGCTACAAGGTATTGTTAACTACGGAAGAGAACAAGTAAAAGTTTTCAGTTTTGGGACTAAGTTTAAAGATAGTGATGACAATTTTTAAAGAAGGTTGTGGGGAAAATTTGAAGAGAAAAGAGAGAGGGGGGGGGGGGGGAACCACTCAGCATTTGGTTTTTAGTCGGGTCAAATTTGATAAAGGTAGAATTAATAACTGATGACTAAAATTGTTTAGGGGGTCAAGAAGTAAAACAAAGTTAAATGAAATTATTGAAAATTACTTCATAGGTTGTAGGGGTCCAGGAGTAAGAAGTTAATTGAATGATGAAAAATTTGTAGACTTCAGGGTGGCTACAAGGGTATTGTTAACTACCGGAAGAGAAACAAGTTAAAAGTTTTGCCAGTTTTGGGACTAAAGTTTAAAGATAGTGATAGACAATTTTTAACAAAGAAGGTTTGTGGGGTGAAAAATTTGAAAGAGAAAAAGGAGAGAGGGGGGGGGGGCGTTGAATATATATAAGTTTTAAAAATTTTGCCAGTGCTAAAACGATGTGAAATTAGAAATGGCTACAAGATTTGAGGGGACCATGGCCCCGCTAACTATCAAAATTGCGGTTTCGGGCCATACTTGTTGGGTGGATGGGGTTGGTAAGATTCATAGGCCAATGTGGTATATGTCGAGTCCTTACTGTTTATTCGATGGGGGGGGGGGGTTGAATATATATAGTTTTAAAAAATTTTCGTGCTAAACATGTGAAAAATAGAAATGGCACAAGATTTGAGGGGCCATGGCCCGCTAACTATCAATTCGGTTCGGCCAATACTTGTTGGGTGGATGGGTTGGTAATATAGCCATGTGTATAATGTGAGTCTTATCTGTTGATATCATAATTTGCATGTATAGGTGACTCGTACCAAGAGCAGGTGGAAATGCACACTCAAGGATGGCATCATGCACATAAACAACAAGGACATTCTCTTTAATAAGGTGAATGTTTGTGCAAAGATATAACAATCCCAATTCCCCACCTGGTATCATGTTTAAGTTCTAAAATTTCGGTACTGTGCTTTTATTTCTGCAGGCAACGGGAGAATTTGACTTCTGATTTTGTTGGAGAAATCTCCTTGTTATCTATTAGTATTTATCTTAAAAGAGCAAATTCTGAGGTGTTGTTGGGTGTTTCATAAATTTTCTTTTATCGTTCAGTGAGAGCTCGGGGAAGTGAGTGAAATGCTTTGGTTTAATGTCTTTCTAAAAGACTGGGTTGGATGGTTGGCCTATTGTACATAATGGAAGAGCTTATTCAGCCTTATAATGGGTGGCTACTTGAGGATTCTCTTAAATGTCTACCATTTCTCTAATTAAATTTGTAATTTTATTTTATACTAATACACTTGAACATAATTTAGGAATCAAATTGTTTTTTTTTTATGCTGTTATTTTTCTAAGCTGTGAAAACAGTATTGTGCTTTATTCTGGTATTCTTGTTATTTGACTAGCAAATCCTTGCTTTCCAAACCAACCTTAGCATTAGATATTCTGCAAGCTAATGAACATTTGTAATGTTGGGCTAATGCATTTACAGATGTTTCATAACATATTAAATTAAAGTACATCTATAATTTACTACATCATAAAATACAAAGTCAAGTTGTATCACTTCTTGAAGCTCATGACCTAACATAACCCAAAAAGATGAAGTCTCTTTAGCAACTCAAATTCCATTAATACAAATTGCATACAGATGGTCGTCGTATAGAAAAAGGTTCTGAAATATGAGAATATAGTTTGTGATCGTAAATATGAGGTGGGAATATTTTTGTATTTTAGTTCAGAAAGCTTCATATTTCGAAATCTTTTCGAGTTCATCTATCTGAAAAAGCAAAACAAATTTATTTTCTTTTCATCAGAATCAATAAAATAAGTGTTCAATAAGCTATATTAAGCTGAAAAAAACCACTACTTTAACTGTACTCTTATACTAAACTTTGTGAAAGTTGCAATGTCATCCTCACCATTGTTACAAAGATATCTTAATTTGAAACTTTAGTTGCACTAACACCTTCAAATTAATAAGGTTAGGTTTTACATTGAAATAACATGTTTTGTGGGATCTAAAACCTACGAGAAGTCAATCAACTTATTTTTTGTTGATTTGTAATGATTACTAATAAATTTTTTTTGCAGATGAATATTTCTTATAATCATTTTATTACAGTCATCTAAATATAATAATTTTCTGTTAAATAATATTTTCAAAAGATATTCACCTTAACAATAGCATAACTAAATATATATGTTGCATAATATATGAAGCAATTATATCTTTATCGTTGATTATTACATTTAATAGCAATTGCTACTAAAAAAATTTTACCAAACACTAATATTTATCCATTAACCACTATCAGTTAGCAGTTGGTATGATTAGCTAAACCAAATTGGTCTTATGTCCTCTATCTCCTACCTAAACAAAAAATCATCATTTGGTATTTGCATGAGTGAGAAAAAAAAAAAGGTTAACATAAACTACACATGAATGTATTCAAGTGCCAAAATAGAGATTTAGTAGGCAAAATAGGATAAGAATTGAATTTAATCTCACGAAAGGGATACAAATATCATTTTTCCAATACAGGAGAAAATCAAACAAATGGCAAACCACCTAAAGGCAATTTTCCTGCATATGTAGTAGAAACTGAATCCTTAACCAGAGGCGATTTGGGTGTTTGGGACCAAGAAAAATCCTAAGTGATGGATTGACAAAACTGAATCTCCATGAGGTTTAAAGCACAAAGATATAAATTTGCAAATCAATCACTCTGCATTGTTCACAAGAACACATTTAGATTGAAACGTTGTGAACAACGAAGATTGCTCCATGTATCCGCCGCCGCCTCCGGCCACTGTGGCCGGATGCTGCCACTCTCTGGGGACACAATTTGCAGTTTTCTTGTCTTGGTTGCCATTGTCAATATCTCCAGTAATTACAGGAAACCTGAATTCTTCTCCCTGTTGTGGAGAGGGTGGTGGTGATATAATGAGTGGTGATAGAAGAGGGATTGGAGTAAGAGGAGACATCTTCTCCTTAAGAATGTTGTTATTGCCATTATTATCAAGAAGAAGAGAAGCTGGAGCTTTCTTTTGTAGCCTTGTTGGGGGTTTGCCATATTTGGTTTTTATCTTGGGTATAACTTGTGTTTGTCTCTGGAAAATATTGTCATCTTCCTCCATTGTTCTTGAGCTCCGTTTACATAAACTTGCAAAAATTCTCTCTTTCTAATATCTCAATTTGAGATATGAAATAGCTAGAAATTAACTTGCAAGAAAAATAATGTCTGTTTGTTCTTTCTTTCCAACAATTTGGATTCTCTCTCTTTCTCACTACCCCTCTTCTCTATCTATCTCTCTCCCTCACACACTCACAGTCACAGGGAAAGAGAAGCATATATGGTATATTATAAAACTTTTTCTTGGGAATCTCAAAGAAGGAGATTGGCCATTAAAGGGTAGTTAGTTAATAACTGTTACTTGCTCAAAATGACATTTAGACCTAGTCTTTGTTTCTGGATGGCTAAAAATATTTACTTTCTTTTTTTTTTTTTTCCCTTCCTTAGGGGGATAAAAAAAGATCTCTCCTTTCCTTAAAATTGTGAATATATACTTGAAATATAACAGAATTTGTTATTGGTTTTTTGTAATATTGTTAAGTTTAGCCTATTGTTATTACCTCCAACAATTCATTAATTGATGAAAATGTTTAGTGTTGGGTAATTTACAAGTACCACTCTCAACTTCTTTTCCTACTATAAAAATGACTTATTACATCAATTTTACCATTCACATTGATAGTTGCTTTTCTGTTCCAAATTTATATTTCTCCTTATCTTTTACAATATATTTATTATATTATAAAAATACAGAGAATCTATAAATGAATTAGTTCATAAATCTATTAAACCAGTTAGTTCATGAGTTTACCTAACAAGCTAGCTCGTAAGCTTTTTCCTGAATATATGAGTCAGTTTGCGAGCGTAAGCTAAGCTTTCTCAAGCTTAAACTTAGCTTGTTTAGCATGAAAATCAAATTTAAATCTTATTTATTTAGAAAATGATCTCAAATAGAATCGTGCTTTAATCAAATTGATCGGTCTAGAGTTGCTTGCCAACAACTTAATTTATTTATAATCCTAAATTTGAAAAACTGTGATGAATTATATTAAAAAACTATAATGAGCTTCATTATTAGGGGATCGGAGAAATAGAAAAGAAGAGATTAGATTTTCACTTTGGGAGACATTAGAATTCAAAAGGGAGATGAATGAGAATCATTTTGTCTGAATAATAGCTCAAGTTGACATTTCTTTTTTCTTTTTTTTTTTTTTTTTTTTTTATTTGTGTATGTTGTTATAATTTAATCTCTATACCAGACTAGCGTACACTGTCGAGTCTTTTATCACTTAGAATATCATGTAGTCAGCTTTATGGTCGAGCGTTTGCTAAATGTCTTCTCAAGTCTTAAACTTGAGCTTTTGTTTATAGCAATAGTATTGCATGATTTATAGAATCATTATTGTTTGATTGAGAGAGTATTCAAATGATTACATGGTGACTTGTAATCAACATTAGAATTTTCAGGATCGCCCACTACTGAGTATGCACTATGCGGATCTAATCTTTCTATAAATGTTTCATTCTATATATTTGAATCCTCTATAATTTTGTATAACACTTGTTTGGTATTATTTTGTAATCTGATTATGAATGGACATTATAAACATATTGTGACGCTTCAATTAGTAGGGGGATCCGGCTGACCGCAGAAATAGTAAAAGAATAGATCATTTTAGTATTTTTCGGACTGAGGAGACACAAAGGTTTAGTTATTTATATCGCAATACAGGAGAACTGAATTGAGATATCAGATTTATTTTGACAGTGATAGTAGCCTCACTGAGCTCTTGTACAGGTTCTTATTTCTGTGGTCTTATGGTGTTGTTATTTTTTTTTTTTTTTTCAGACAGAATAGGTGGGTTCCTACAATATATTGTTCTAAGAATTGGACTTCTGGAAGTGATACACACTTATTTTTTTAATAGTGTACCTTTGGAATCTTCTATTCTTTTCGCGCTTATGGAATTATCTATATAGTAATCTTTTCATCACCAATAAATTCGAATTTTCTATCAGCGAAAAAATAAATTAAAATACCATTTTCGACACTTACCATCTTGTCCCTTTTATGTTAACTCTTTATTAATGAATGACACTCTAGGTATAAGCCTTCTATACATATTTTCCAAATTGTTTTTTATTTAATTGTGACAGCATACAATTTACCTATTTTTGTATTGGATTTTTTGTTGGGTATACGGTAGTCGTTATGTATTTATAGTATTAGTTTTTTCTGGAATTCTTGCTCATTTCTTAGTATTGTTTTTTTTTTTTTTTTTTTTTTTTTTTTTTTAAAAAAGTGGGTTCCTCAATAATGTCTAAATTAGCATATGAATCACATTATTTTTAAAAAGTGATTTGGAAATTTTCATTTTTCAATTATGTGAATTATAAGATCTTTTCATCCAAAAATTACAATTTTCTATCCAGCGAAAAATATTAAAATACCATTTTCGAATCATCTTTTGTAACCTTAGAAAGAATGGTATTTTAATATTTTCAATTGTTTTTTAATGGAGAAAATTACATTTTTTTGGATTGGAGGATTTTGTATTTTAGTTTTTTTCATTTGTATTTTAGTATTTTCACTTAAGAGATTAAATATTAACTTTAGGAGACATTAGAATTCAAAAACGAGATAGATGGTGAATCAATTTGTCCAAATAATAGCTTATAATAATGTCTAAATTAGGAGAAATTTTTAAGTAGATTTAGTCTACCACATCAGTTATAGACTCACAAAATAAAATTACATCAACGATTTGTTTTTTCCCAGCTTATTTCTTATTAATTCTTTAATGTTTTCCTTTGATTAGAGATAGAAAACGTAGTTGCGTTGGTTTAAAAGTTAATGATGTAGGACGAGAAAAAAAAAAAAGCTATTGATATGTTTTTATTTCATCGGATTAGGACGTGGTAGACTAAGTTTATCTAAAAATTTCTCCTAAATTATCATATGAATCACATTATTTTTAAAATGACTTGAAAGTTTTTACTCTTTAATTATGTGAACTACAAGATCCTCTCATTAAAAGTGTAATTTTCTGCCCAATGAAAAGTACTAACATATCCTTTCAGATGACCTTTGTTATCTTAGAAAGAATGGTATTTTAGTATTTTCACCTGATACTTAATAGAGAAGATTGCACTTCTTTGGGCGGAAGGATTTATAATTTCCGAAATTAGAGGGCAAAACTCCCGAGTAATGTTTAAAGTAGTGAGGCCCGTGTGCTAATTTGGAAATAATTTAGGGCCCATTCTTATTTTTTGCTTTTTAAATAAATTATTTTAATAAAGGGTTATTATTTAATATATATATATTTAGGCGAATAATATATATATATATGATATAATACTACCGAGAATGCTTTGGTCACTAAAGTTGGAGAGAAAAAGAAAAAAAAAAAGAACGATGAAAGGAAAAACTAGCTTTTTCGGTTGTGCTACTAACAGCACTCTTTTTGGCAGAGAGAATCACTGGGTTTAAAAGCATCATTTTCTTTAATAGTGGAGCACATCCGATTCTAGTTCGTGTGTAAGTAGACCCACAAATTTTCCGGCGGCTACACACATCCAAAGAAGTAAATAATTGGACATAAATGAGTCGGAGAACATCCATAACTCATACGGATTCCAGCGGGATCACGTGAGTCACTGGTAATCCACTAGATATAAGGTCAGAGTATATCATTGAGCTTAAGGATTCCTCACTCAGCCACCCTTGATAGTCTTAGTTGAGCCTTAATTGCTGTGATATATAGTCTCTACTAATTCACCACTGCATCCATTCGTTCCTCATGTATATATAAGCAACCAAGATCACTAGATAATCCTCATATATACTCGGTCTTACTCTGGAGTCGATCACACGAGCCTTCACAGATTACTTGATAGACACGTTGCAGAGACTATGCAGAAAAGCACTTTCACGTATTACCTCTATATGAAACACCAGCGTCTCAGCTCACTTACGTACCACAGATATAGTCTGTTGCGCGAAGAGAGAGACACATTATACACTTGAGAGAGAGTGTTCACCACGCACCAGCGGTCTCTGAGGATATCGGCACATATAGTATGCATAGATAGTTAAGTTCATTAATACATACTGACTGCTTCTTCCGATCGTCATCCTCACATAGGCCAAGTCAGACATATGAGTTGGTTGGTCTGTCACATATATAAGTTGAGAGATTTGTGCTTTATCTTGTGCGGGAGGTTTACATATTCTGCGGATGGAGCGACAGACCACACTAGGTGCAGTACACGTCTCTTTTAATGATCGCTGTAATATTTCGAGGCACTAAACACTTAACATAGGCATGAGGGAAGGGTTTATGTTGTACTTAATTTATCTTTGGAGAGGATCGTTAATTATACTTTTGCCCATAATTTGACATAGGAATATTATTCTGAAGATTAATGTTTAATGCCTGTTTCTGTGAGGTTAAGGTTTTAATTTGACAGATTGTTTATATATAATACTACGAGAATGCTTTTCTAAGTTGGAAAAAAAAAAAAAAACATAAAGGAAAAAAGCTTTTCTCGTTGCAGTTACCTACCACTCGAAAGTCAAAAGTGGAAGCATCCGATTCTAAGTTCGGGTGTAGTAGACCACAAATTTTCTCACACAAGAAGATATGGAAAGTGGGAACTCCATAACTACCAACCGTCTGATCCCTGATAATCAATCTCGCTATGGCTTCCACTACCTTAACTGTGCCTTTGCTGAAAGTCTCACAATTCCACTCTCCATTATTTAAGCAACCAAGATCCAAATCTCACTCTTTCTTCTTCGTCAATGCCTTCAACGATCGAAACCCAAACTTCAGAAAAGCTTCTTCTCATTTAAAGGCCAAGTTTCCCATGTCGTCAAAAGAGCCATTGCTCACTGGTCGCAGGCTCGGATTCGATGTTAGCTATATAAGCCAAAACAAATGTTGCTTTCTGCTTCTAAAAGGCAATAGAAATGTTGGGTTTGTCTTTAATTTTGATTTTTTTTTTGTGGGTAGGTTGAATATTCTGCTGGAGAGGAAGCAGGGTCGCTTGTGCCTGACGCAACACAGCAGGAGGCTTTTTCTTGGTCGTCTGTGATTTTTCCGTGAGTTATTTTGGTTGTTTATTTTATTAAACGAGTGTGTTTTTATCATTATTGTTAATGGGTACTTCTACTTTGCTTTTTATTTATTGTTGAATTAATGTTTGATAGATTATTGAATAAATTGTAATGGCTAAGTATTTAATTCTATGTTTTTGCTCTGCCTTTTTTGTAATAAGTGATTGGGCAGTAGTTAGGTTCAGTAGAGACTTTAATATTGATCAATATAACCTCGATTTGGGAATTTTGATGAAGCGTCTTGTTATTAAAACTGCAGGTTTATTTGAAGTAATTTACGCGCTAACTGTCTTCTATGTTTGTGAAATTTTCGCTGAATCTGTTTTGCATCCACTGTGCTATAATTTTCTCAAATTTGGTACATGAGATTTTAGGTTTCTGTTCCCAGCTTTGGGAGGATTGCTATTTGGATATGACATTGGTGCAACTTCTGGCGCTACCATATCATTGCAGGTGCTTCTGAGTTTTGGCGGTTCCTTATAACATTTCAACCCACATTTTATTTTGAGAACATAATGAACATAATTTTTTTGCACTATTGATAAATAATCTGTCTTTGTTAAATCTGATGTGTTTCTTTGTCTTTCAAAATTTCAGTCAGCAGAGCTCAGTGGGACAACATGGTTCAATCTTTCAGCTGTTCAGCTAGGTCTTGTGGTAAGATTAGCATGTGCTAATAACTTGTCTATTTATGATTAATGCATGTTGTTTTCTTATATTAGAGTGCCTTTAATGTAGGTTAGCGGTTCTCTTTATGGAGCTCTTCTTGGTTCCCTCCTTGTCTACCCAATTGCAGATTTTCTAGGTACATCAATTAGCTATTAAGTTTATTCTAAAGTTCCAGAAGATATTACTGGATTTGTCACCCATTTTCTTTTTTTGGGTTCATGCATAAAGGAAGGAATCGGGAACTTATTATAGCGTCTGCGTTGTACATGCTTGGTGGTCTAATCACTGCATATGCTCCAGAACTCAATGTTCTCTTAGCAGGACGTCTTCTTTACGGTCTTGGCATTGGTTTGGTTAGCTTCATTGAACTTTTAGTTATTTGTTTGCTAGAGTTTGTTGATAGTATGATATCCATTTTCTGTTCTAATAATGTCTACTCTCATATGATAGGCCATGCATGGTGCTCCTCTGTATATTGCTGAAACTTGTCCATCACAAATTCGTGGAACTCTAATATCACTGAAGGAACTGTTCATAGTCTTAGGAATTTTGGTATTTTAAAAATCGATTTGTCTCCTCGTCATATTTAACTTCTTCTTTTTTCTTCCTTTAAAAATAGCCAAGTTAATGAACTTCTATGCAGTTGGGATATTTTGTGGGAAGCTTCCAAATTAATGCAGTTGGAGGGTGGCGTTACATGTATGGCCTTGGTGTCCCAATAGCTTTTCTTATGGGACTAGGAATGTTGAGTCTCCCACCCTCTCCACGTTGGTTGCTTCTTAGGGCAGTTCAAGGTAAAGCATCTTTACAAGAGTATAAAGAGAAGGCCATTTTTGCCTTGAGCAAACTAAGGGGTCGGCCTGCTGGTGACAAAGAGTCTGAGAAGCAAATAGAAGATACCCTTGTCTCCCTGAAGTCTGCCTATTCCGAGGAGGAATCTGAGGGCAGTGTCTTAGAGGTGTTTCAAGGACCAAGTTTGAAAGCCTTCATTATTGGCGGAGGTTTGGTACTTTTCCAACAGGTGCTTCTTCCTCTTTGTTATTTATGAGCAGCTGTAAAATGAAGAGAGTTGGGGATATAATGTTTTTGAACTGACTTTTGGCCTGATTGTGATAGATAACTGGACAACCTAGTGTTCTATATTATGCAGGTCCAATTCTTCAGGTACTTGATAATTAAAGTTAAACCTTTCCGTTTGTGAAATGGATGGTATGCTTTTATCTTATATTACCCGATCATTTAATTTGTTTTATTGTGTTATGCAAGAGTGCTGGATTCTCTGCAGCCACTGATGCCACTCGAGTTTCTGTCATTATTGGGTTATTCAAGGTAACTATCCTATTGGGAAGACTTTGCTTTGTGGATAAATATTCTCTCTCCCTTCCAAGTTTGATCTTATTGCTGATGTTTATTATAATTGGTTGCGTATATCTGCAGTTGGTGATGACATGGATAGCTGTCCTAAAAGTTGATGATCTTGGAAGAAGACCCTTGCTGATTGGAGGAGTTGGTGGAATTGTATGTGTACTGCTATTTTCTCAATATTTTTTCTTTTTTAACTTAAAAGTATGAAGGTACATTCTTCTCTCTGTATCTGTTACAGGCCCTTTCGTTGTTTTTGCTTTCTGCTTATTATAAAGTTCTTGGAGGCTTCCCCTTTGTTGCTGTTGTAGCTCTGCTTCTCTATGTTGGTTCCTACCAGGCAAGTAATATTGCCTTTTGGCTGCTGGCAAAGTCCTTTTTTTCCATATCCATGTTGGATTAACTGCTCCTAAAACATATAGGCTACAAAAATCTATAAAAATATATATTAGAACAAGCTGTAGGCATCATAAAAGAATTCCCAAAATGAAAGCGGTAAAAAGAGAAAGAAAAGGATAAATTAGGAGATGGTTTCCTTTCTCTCATAATGCATTTTCCTCCTCCGCCTGAATTTAATTGGCTTGGGTTGAAAGTTCTCTTGTAACATTTTCTTACATTTTGTTAGATCAAGGTGAAGGTTTATCCTGAAAATTATGTTCTCTCCATGTCCCATTTCAGATATCCTTTGGGCCTATCAGTTGGCTAATGGTATCAGAGATTTTTCCACTTCGCACTAGAGGAAAGGGAATAAGTCTTGCAGTTCTTACTAACTTTGGTTCCAATGCCATTGTAACCTTTGCATTCTCACCATTAAAGGTATTAGTTTGATCCTATTATTCCTTTCCAAGTGTATTGCTCGATAAAAACCTTTTGTTCTGCACAGTTAATGGGATGATCATCAACATCTTTTCATTCTGCAGGAGTTGCTGGGAGCTGAAAACCTTTTCGTTCTTTTTGGGGCTATAGCTTTGTTGTCGCTGTTGTTCACCATATTTTTTGTCCCAGAAACTAAAGGTTTGAGCTTGGAAGAAATTGAATCTAAATTCTTAAAGTGAAAGCTCAATGCATTTGGAACCATTTGTCATATGCTCCTAGTGCGCAAAAAGTTATGGTTAGTTCATTAGCTTACCTTGATGTGATCTTGAAAGGTAAATTAGTTGCAGCTTTATCCAATGTATTTGTAAATATCATGAGGAAAATATGTATCTTAGAAGCTGATTGGTAAACTAAGTTTATACGTTGAAGTTGTGTGGTTTAATTGTCCATACCAACTAATAGTTGATAGCAGTCACTGGAAGTTGGTAGTTGTTGATAATTTTAGTTCAGTCGTTATTAAAATGTATATGTCGTTTAATGATATAATTGTTTTTATATGTTATGTTGTATAATGTATTTTTTTATTATTTTAAAGTGAATATGTTATTTTTAATTTGAGGTACTAATTAAATAACTAATACTATTTAATTATATAAATATTTAATAGAAGTTTATTATTTTTAAATAATTATAAATTAAATGATAAAAATATTAATTCGAAAAGAAAATTAATTTTATTAATATGTTTTTATAAGGTTAATAAAGTCCAAATTTATTTATCTATTTATAATTTATAATTTGTATATAAAAGTATGAATGGGAAGAACATTGAGATTGACATTTAATAATAACAAATTACCCTTTAATTTTATTGCCTAAAAATTATATTTAATTGGTTAGCTTAGTTTTCTATTATATAAGAGAAAATTATTAAAGAAGTAATATTTATTTTAACTCAATTAATAATAAGATATATCTATTGACAACTAGCTGACCGTAATTAGTATTTGATTTCCACAAAAAAAAAAAGACAGCTTGTTAGCGATTGATCTGTGATCGCTCAGGACGGACGATTAATAAAAAATATTTGTAATAGTAGCGACCGACGTGGTCGCAGTTGCTAATATTCGTGCCAAGAATTGGCGCCAACCATAGCTATAGATTAGCGACAACTCCACAACGTAAGAGGTACAATCCGTCGCTATATTTGGCGCCAAATCTGTGGCGGGAATTGGTGAGAATTAGTAGCGACAGATTAGCGACCACTTTACGACAGGTGTGACAATCAAAATTCCATATCTATTAGCGACAGATTAACGACCACTTTTACATCTTAGCGACAGAGTCTGTTTGCTACATCAATTAAAATAGGGACCAATTTACTAATTTTAGCAATCGATATGGTCGGTCGCTAAATTTTTAGGGCGATTTAGTCGCCTTCCTCTCTCGCGCGAGACTGAATCAATCTCACGCCTCCTTCGTCTCCTCTCTCACTCTCTGTCGTCTCTCTCCTTGTGTCTCACTTCGACGCCGGTCATCAATGCCCCTGTTTTCGCTCGCCGCCGCCGTCCAACAGGTAAGTTATTTGTTATTTGTCTTTTTTTTTATTTTTTTTATTTTCCTTATTTATAATCTGCAGTTGTTAATGTTTACGTTATTTTTTTTTTTGACATTTTAATTTTTTTATTTTTGTTTAGTTGATTGTTTATTGTCCGTTTATTGTTTGATTAATCTGCAGTTAACTTTGTGTTATAATTTATTATTTTGGTTTTGTTATTAATTATTTATTATAATTTGTTTGTTGTTTGTTTATATTTAAGATTAATGGTTTTGGTTTATATTGTTTTTATGTTTTGTTGTTTGTTTTTGTTAGTAAAAATTCTGACTTTGGATTAGTTTTTTGTTTTTTTTGTTATTTTTTAGATATTAGTTATGGTTTTTTTTTTTTTTTTTTTTTTACAATTTCTTAAATTTTTTTTAATTTTTGTTTTAGTTGATTGGTTTATTGTCCGGTTTATTTGTTTGATTTAATCTGCAAAGTTAACTTGGTGGGTATAATTTATTATTTTGGTATTTGTTTATTAATTATTTATGTAATAATTTGTTTGTTGTTTGTAATTATATTTATTTAAGATTATAAATGTTTTGGTTTAATATTGTTTTTTTTGTATGTATTTGTTGTTTGTTTTTGTTTGTAAAAATTTCTAGAAACTTTGGAATTAAGTTTTTTTTGTTTTTTTTGTTATTTTTAGATATTAGTTATGGTTTTTTTTTTTTTTTTTTTTGTAATAGTTTGGTTTAATTGGTTTTTTTTTTATGGTTAAATTAGTTTGTAATGTTAAATTGGTCTTTTAGATATTAAGTTTGTTTTGGTTTTTTGTATAATATAGAATTAGGTTTGTTGTTAAGGTTAGTTTAGTTGTTAATTAAGGTAAGTCCTTTAATTAAGATTAGTTTTCACATAAATAATTTTCTTAGAGATAAAAAGAAAAAAGCGTTGTTATTAATAGATTTGTTTAATTGTGTTTGTTTAATAAAAAATCCCTTGCTTTAGGAATAGATTTTTTAGTTTGTTTAATTTAGTTCAGTTTTGTTAATTAGTTTAATTTTTTAATTCGGTTTTGTTTTTAATTTATTATCTTGTCATTTTAATGCAGACTCGAGCATCTTAACACATTAATTTGTTTAAAAAAAATATGCAAAGCAATTGAAAGTAAGCATAATTCAAAAATACATTCATTGATTAGGCACGTTGCACGAGCTTTGTTTTTTTTTTTTTTTTTTTTGTATAGTTTGGTTAATTGGTTTTTATGGTTAATTAGTTTGTATGTTAATTGGTTTTAGATATTAGTTTGTTGGTTTTTGTATATAATGAATTAGGTTGTTGTTAATTAGTTTAGTTTGTTAATTAGGTAAGTCCTTTAATTAGATTAGTTTTCACATATAATTTCTTAGAGATAAAAGAAAAAACGTTGTTATTATAATTTGTTAATGTGTTTGTTAATAAAAATCTTCTTTAGGATAGTTAGTTTGTTAATTAGTTCAGTTTGTTAATTAGTTTAATTTTTTAATTCGGTTAGTTTTTTATTTATTTTCTTGTCAATTTTATGCAGACTCAAGCATCTTAACACATTAATTTGTTAAAAAAAAATGCACAATTGAGTAAGCATAATTCATACATTCATTGATAGGCGTGCCGAGCTTGTCAGAGTAAGCACAATTGAGTATTTTTTTCTGTTTTTTCATATAAATTTGAATATTTTGCATTGTTCTGATCCTGTTGTATTCTATATTTGTAAGGATAACTATACTACGGGGAAAGAGAGAGCTACTGTAGCTCAGGCTCAGACTGGTAAGTAGCCTACAATCGATGAGTTGCAGCTTTATCTCGAGGCTGCAGGAGGCGAGAAGAAGAGAAAAGTCTACGACATTAGTTCGCAGTCTGATATTTTTTATAGTCGCACGCATGGGGCTTCAGCGAGTAGAGCCACACCAGTTGAGCCGGATGCAATTACAGAGGAGATTCAGAATTTACGGGCTCAGCTTCAGGCACAGCAATAGATATTACAGCTTATATTGCAGCAGCAATAGCTGATTGAAATGTATGCTTGAGATCGATCTATTGCATCACCAGCTCCCTCTACACCGACAAATCACTCTGATCCCTCGGCTTCTTTAATTCTGCCTGCTTCTCAGAGTTCCATTATGGATTTTACAGATCAGACCCCACCTTAGACATCTTTTTTGCTATTATGTTTATTTTGTACATATTGCAGTATAATTTGTACAATTTTATTCACACATTAATAATAATTTTTTTTAATTCAGTATTTTTTTCATTGCTGTGATTGTTTGTGTGAATTACTTGAATCAGCATATATTGCGATTCTTTATAGGTGAAAATTTTTGGTTGTCAAAAATTTAAATTTTATTTTTGTATGCCAAAAAACAAATAGCGACCACTAAGCGTCAGAATAGCGACGAATAACAATATTTTAAAAATTAATTGAAAAAATATAGCGACCGATTAGCGATGGATTGAGTGACAGTTGCGACGGCTTAACGACGGAACGTCAAAGATTTAAAATAATATACAACGACCGATTAGCGATAGATGTAGCGACCAACTCTAATGACGGACTAGCGACCGAGATATTTAGCAACCGAATAGCAACTGCTTTATCGTTAATGGGAGTAAGTGATTCAGCGACTGAAATATCGGTCGCTGAGTTGCGATTAATGTCATATTCAGTTGCTAAAAAAATTAGCAACAAGAAATTGTGCGATCGATTATGGTGGTCGCAAATCTATTTTAGCGACAGATAAAAAAGAATTAGTGACCAATTTGTCTGTTGCTTAATAGTGTTTTTTTTTTTTGTAGTTTATATAATAAAGGAAAAATTATAATTTTGGTACCTGAACTTTATATTTTTTTTTACTATTTGGGTGTCTTGCCGGAAAACTTTATCGTCGAGTGTCTATACTTAAAAAAATTTGCAATAAGGTGGCTTTGACCGATTTTAATTGTTGGAATGTTGAGTCAACAAATATGGGGTCCATTTTTTAATAGCTGGAAGCTAATGTGGATTTAATTAAATCCACTTCACACCAAACACTTGATCGAACAAAAAAAAAAACACTCGAAAACAGGTTTAAATCGTTGATCGAATCATTGAAAAATCAAGGAAACTTTCTAGAATCGTAATCGGTCCAAACCAGCCTTTGAATTGGACCCAACCCATGGCATAACCAATAGGATCAGGAGAGAGAAAACTCATTTCCCTCCCTATCTCCTTCTCCCTTCGGCGCCGACATCTTCTCCACCATTCCTTTCCGTTTTCCGGCCAAAACTCCATGGAAACCAATGCTCTTCGACTCTAGACCCTAGTACTCGATAAGGGGAGCTCTATTTTGGCCTTGGATCGTGTTGATTAGGCATTGTACGCGAGATATTGAAGCTTGAACGCTGCCTCACCGTAATAGGTTCGATTTTCTGGTAATAATACACGGTTTCCAGTGGGCTCAGGTGTGGGATGAGTTTCGATCAGTTCAAAATAGCCTCCTGATATTTTCCCTTCGATTTCCATGCACACCTTCGTTTAGCGAAGCCACCATGAACAGTGGTACGGGCGTGACTGCCATGACTGATTCGATACTAGGGGACCATTATTTCTTCAAATTGATCACATATTCGGACTCCCCAAAGGATTCCGAGTGAGTTGGTGTGTCACCCATCGAGTTCCGGTGAAAAGTGACATTTTGGCCACTGTCCATGGCAGTCACGAGCAGAAGAGGAGTTGCACAAGCACTCAACTCTGATTATAATTTTCAAGGCAGGACGAAAGAGACGAAAGAGTGATTTTCCAGGCATTAACTTTCATGTCAGCTGCCACGTATTAGGAAACGGGCCCCACTTTCGCTGACTAAGCATTCTGGCATACAACCATCTAATTGCAAATTTTTATAAATATAGACACTCCGTGGATAAAGTTTTCAGATACTAAAAATAGAAAAAAAATCCAAAATTCATATATCAAATTATTATTTTCTCATACGATAATTATATATTTTGATGAGATTTGACTATAAGTATATAATTTTGTTAGATGGGCAAAAATATCTTAAGTAATTGTTATATTTTATTATTTTTCAAAACATATAATTAACACATTGTTGATATCTATGTAAAATGGAATGTGAAAATATTGTAATCCATAAAAATATTATAATCCATAAAAATACTGTAATAAATTTATGATAAAAATATTTTTAAAAAATTTAATTTTATTAATTGAAAAATAAAAATAATTTTATTTGATTAATTACTTTAGTTTTCTTTGTAAATATAAATAATATTGGTTAAACAATAAAATAAAAAGAATTAATAGTGTATACAAAATATATAATGTCAATGTTGAATAGATGGTCTTTGAAATTTAAATTTAATTTGGACTGTTCTTGTATTCTAACATAGAATGGTCAAAGCTGACAAAACAAAAAGAAAATTGTCAAAGCTGAAAAGGGAGACTTCCAGTTTATTTTACAACTTCCATCTAGGGGTATGCAAAAAGTTGACCATCAAAACCGAAAAAATCACAAGCAATCCCGAATCCAAGTCAACTAAATTGAACCAATTTGATTTGATTTAATTTAATTTAGTTCAGTATGATTTTTTGATTTTAACTTGTTATTAGACTTATTTTGCATTGATTTTCAATTAATGAAAATGGAACTGAACTAAAGAATTTTGGTTCTTTAATTAAAATCAAAGCCAAACCAAATCCAACTGAGCAAGTTAATTTGGTCCGGTATATCTGCTCAGCCCAATTTCCTCCTCATCATACTTCTTAAAAATAATCTATACGGCCTACGGTATAAATGTGACCTTATACTTTCAGTAATTATCCTTATAGTACCTTAAATTTTATATGGACGCATTTTAGTAATAACTATATCCTCGCCAAAATAAAATGTAAGAGTGCAAGGTCATGATTAAATTCTTTGCAAAATTATTTTATTTCGGCGAGAAACATGATTGTTACTCAAATGTGAAAATGTGTGGTTGTAATTACACTGAGAAGTCTAAGAGGCCACAAAAAAAATCGGCTAAAGTTGAGAATCAAATTTATGTATTATGACTAATTCTGGACGGTACGGACTCGAACCGTATACCTTCCCGGTAAAATAAATCAAACTGATTATTATCAAAATGATTCCAACCTGAGTATGTCCATCTAAACATGGGAATATCTATTATCCAAATCCAAATAAGAAATATAGAAATGATAATTAATTTTACCCTTCTAAATTTATCAACTAGAAACTTTTTATAACTGAGTTATCTGAAACATCACATTTACAAAAATTCTGTAACATTAGAGAACAATTAGCAGAAGCTCAGAATCAGCAGCAAAAATATGCACAATATATTCTGCTAAAGAAATTTTTTTTCTCTGAACTTAAAGAAGGTTTAGCTAATTAGGCTACAAGTTTTGCAGATTCAACGACCATAGCTAAGTATAGAATCTGTGCTAGACAAACCAGAATAGTCATTAGATTCAGGAAATGACAAACTGCAATCTCTAGCAGCTTCTTGGCTAACTGTAATCAAACCAATAGCAAAACCATCCATTGGTGCTTGCGGTAAGATAGCATCTCCATCAAGATATTGGATTACTTGCCTCATAATAGGCCTAGCTGCTGGTATAGGATGAACACAAAGAAGACCCAGCTTCAAAACCAATTCCATTTCTTCAACTATATAATTACCTTGTAATTTAGGATCACTTGTTTCAAGAATTACTCCTCTTCTGTAACAATCAAGAACCCAATCTACTAAAATAATCTCTTCGCCCTGTCTTTCTGCTTCTACAGGCTTCCTTCCACAAGCTACTTCAAGCATAAAAGTTCCAAAAGCAAAAACATCACTGCTTGTAGTAGCCTTTCCAGTTCTTGTAACTTCTGGTGCTAGATATCCAACAGTTCCAACTATGCAAGTTGTTTGAGGTGTCGATCCACGATCGTAAAGCTTTGCAAGTCCAAAATCTCCTAATCTTCCATTAAGATCAGCATCTAATAGAACATTGCTAGCTTTCACATCTCTGTGTATAACAACTTGTTCCCATTCTTCATGCAGATAAACAAGTGCAGATGCAACTCCTTTTAGAATCTGATATCTCTGAACCCAATTTAGAGTGGGTGTGTTTCTGCGAAATAGAAATTTGTCAAGACTTCCGTTAGGCATATAATCATATACTAAGAGCAACTCTCCTTTTCTTCGACAGTAGCCTAAGAGTTGTACTAAGTTCCTATGCCTTAGCCTCCCCATACTAACAATTTCAGCTACAAATTCTTTCATTCCTCGTTGAGAACCATGAGATACTTTCTTGACAGCAACTTGTGTATTTGACGAAGGTAAAACTCCTCTATAAACCCTTCCAAAACCCCCAAATCCTAGTAATTCTTTGTCTTTGAAACCTTTCGTTGCTTTATAAAGTTCTTCATAAGAAAATCTTTGAGGACCATATTCTTTTTCCCAATCTTCACGCAGTTCTTCATATTTTTTCCTCCTAACTATATAAACAGCTCCAGTTATTAGCATCAGTAAAATAATCGCTGTTACTGATGCGATTATAATTCTTAAATTTCGTGTTTTGGTCGAATTTCTTTGAGAAGGAAGTGGGGGAAGTTTTGAGATATCAAGATTTTGAGCTTGCCCATTTTTGTTGAAGCTCCATCCAAGAATATAATGGTGGCTTGCCACTGCTCCTGTAGAAGAAGAAAACCCAATATACATAGAATCCAAGAAAATTAGAGAAAGATCAAGTTTTCTTGACAAGAGAGGCTTTTCTGGTTTCTTGATTGCTATAGGAGCTAAGGTAACATTGATTAACTTCTCTACATCATCATAATCAATCCAAACTTGCATTTCATTTCCACTAATGAGCTTCAAGTTCTTATTTTGCCTTTCTTCTTCCGAATAGTAAGCTACAAGAGCTGATGCATTTGATGTCAAGCCATTCACATCAATACCAACATGATTGTCATCTTTCTCTCCAAATTCAGTAGTAAGTAGAGTATCAAGCTCAACAGCAAATACATGGTTTGAAGACAAGCCATTGCTTGTAGAATTAAATAGTCCGAAATATTGCGTTGCTAATGCTCCTGTGAACTGCACAGATGGAGAAATAGTGAACGCAATTCCATGGCCGCCAAGATCAGGCCTCTCAGGAACAATAGCAAACGCAAAGTTAGTAGAAAATGAGAAAGATGACTGGGAACTGTTGGAGAAAGATTTACTAAAGTTGAAAGGTATAAGCCCAATTCACATCAAGTACCAACCATGATTTTGTCAATCTTCCTGCTTCCGCAAAAAAATTCAAGTAGTAAGTAAGTATCAAGCAACTCAACAGTCAAAATACATGGTTTGAAGACACAGCCATTGGATCTTGTTAAGAAATTAAAATATAAGTCCCCCGATATTGGCGTTGCTAAATGCTCCTGTGAACTGAAAACAGAATGGATGAATACATGGTTTGAAGACAAGCCATTGCTTGTAGAATTAAATAGTCCGAAATATTGCGTTGCTAATGCTCCTGTGAACTGCACAGATGGAGAAATAGTGAACGCAATTCCATGGCCGCCAAGATCAGGCCTCTCAGGAACAATAGCAAACGCAAAGTTAGTAGAAAATGAGAAAGATGACTGGGAACTGTTGGAGAAAGATTTACTAAAGTTGAAAGGTATTGGAAAGAAAGCACGACCAATTTGCTGGTATGAAATGTTTGTTAGCTCTAGCAGACCATTTGAATGGACTTTTGCAGCTCCATTAAGATTTAGGTTAGCTCCATTGAAGCCATGGTAGATGAACTGGTTTTCTGGTTGAGCTAAGGCCAAAAATTTTAAGGTAACAGAGAGGCAAAATAGGATATTCTGCAATTTAACCGCTGAAATCATGTTTACAGGGGGAGAGAAAAATGTTTAACAGAAAAGCTTTTGATGTGTGGTTTTTGCTTCTTCTTTTATGTTAATACCCTTAGTCTAAAATATCAACAAGCATCTATTTTCATGGGAAAGCAAATACTTTTCAGAGATAGTGGAAGGTCAAAGCAAAAGAATGCTCTAGGTAATAACAATAATAATATTAAATATTAAAAGCTTTTACGTGAATCTTTCAAATTTTTTTTTCAAATATTGACTATATATAACTTATAATCAAGTCATCTAATCAGGTTAAATAAGTTCATGCACGATGCTAATTAGTAATTAGGGTCAGAAACTCATTAAATGACCATTGAACTCCACTGGTTAACAAAATGAAAATTTGAACACCATTGATCCTATTAGGTAGAAAAAGTTAACCATACTACAAGAAAAAAGATGGCTGCTTCTAAAGTCAATGAAGAATGACAAATGTGAGAAATTTTGATGGGTGATCGAAAATGTGATCGAAAATGATAATTGCTATATTTCTTATGTTAATGATACCGATACCAAAATTCATCAACTACTTTTCTTTCACTGTCATCCAGTTTCAAGCAATACTGGCTTATCCTATGTAGTCATTTTGCCATTCTAACATGGCTATTAATAGATGATTGAAAATGATAATTTTTATTTCAGTGAAAATGATAATTTTTATTTCAGTCCAAAATTTAATTGATTCTTTCATTTTCACTAATTTTCAGGGAATATGCATATTCCTGGAGTCCTGTTTCTTTCAATTTGAACTTAATTTGCTATTACAAGAAGAAGCATGTCACCTTCGCAAATTAATGACAGGATAATGAGTTTTAATAGATGATTGAAAATGATAATTTTTATTTCAGTTAGTATTCTGTTGTTCCTGATTCTCTTGCTTTAAATTAATAAATAGAAAAATAGTGTTTGTTAAATAAAATTTTGGAGACAGTATCCCTTATTTTAATTTTTTAATTTTTTTGTATAACCAAGGGAACGTGTAATCCCCTCTTATGGACTCGTAAAAGCCTTAAGGTTTATGATCTCCTGTCTCCTACAGCAAAGTATGCGCTTGCTAAGGGATGCAAACTTTGTGGTATGGTCTTGTGAAACTTAAAAAAACAAGAATCTGATATTTAATGCAGCAAAGATTCATCCAAAAACAAATGAAAACTTATTTGATTCTCTATCTCATTATCTCAATGAAACTAGTCACTCTTGCTGAACCAATCTCTATTAAAATCAACATTACAAATGAAACTATAAACTAGTAAGATTGCAATTTTTGAACATATAGAAAAACTTAGATTGAACAATGGCCAATGAAATAAATATACTACTAAACATTAGGAAATTTCATTTTACAAGTGGCATTCTCTGCAAAATGGAAAATAGGAATTCCTCATTAATCATTTTGAATGCAAAACAACTAAGCAATAAATTTTTGCGTTCATAACGACGCACAACTTAGAATGGGATTCATTGATTAGAACAATGTAGAATAATCATTAGACTCAGGAACTGACAAACTGCATCTCACAGCTTACTTGTTGTTGACTAATATGTGACCAAACCAATTCCAGGACCAAGAAGCTTTCCATTTTTGTATTTCTGGCAAAGCCTAGCCTTTCCATCTAGATAATTGCACCACTTGCCTCATGATTTAGGCCTAGGCTGCTGGTAAGTAGGGTGAAGAACTAGAAGAGCAGGCCCTACTTTCAGAAAACCAATTCCATTTCCTCCACCATAATATTTACCTTGCCAATTTAGGATCACTTGGGTTCAAAGGAAAATTATGGCCCCTCTTATCCAGCGTTCAAAGAACCCAATTTCTTGCCAAAATCCACTAAATATCCTGGGTGGGTCTTTCTGGCTCTAGGAGGGCTTCCTTCGCACAGGCCTACTTCAAGCAATAAGAATACCAAAAAAGAAAAAAAACATCGCTGCTTGTAAGTTAACCTTTCCCTGTTACTTTGTAGCCTACCATGGGTTGCAAGGTATCCTACGAAGTTCCAACAACACAAGTTGTTTGAGGAATCGATCCCGTGATCATAAAACACTTTAGCAATAGTATCCAAAAAATCCCGCCTAACCTTTTTCCATTAAGAATCAGAGTCTAACATAACATTTGAAGCTTTTCACATCTTCATATGCAGAACAACCTGTATCCCACTCTTCATGGAGTGATAAAACAAGAGTGCTCGAATGGCACTCCCTTTCAGGATTTGAACGAGTCGGCAAGCTCCAATTAACAGATTTGGTGTGTGATTTTGTGAAATAAGAATTTATTCAAAGACTTCCGTTTAGGCCAATATAAACTCATAACCAAAGAGCAAACCTCTCCCTTCCACCCTTTCTTCCGGCAGTAAGCCTAAGAGTCTGCACTAAGTTCCTATGCCTTAGCTTCCCCAATGGTAACATTTTAGCTTCCCCATGGTAACAATTTCTGCTACAAATTCTTTCATTCCCTGTTGAGACTCATGTGAGACTTTCTTGACAGCAACTTGTGTATTGGAAGAAGGCAATACTCCTTTGTAAACTCGTCCAAATCCCCCAAAACCAAGCAACTCCTTCTCTCTGAACCCTTTAGTAGCTTTATAGAGATCCAAATCCCCCAAAACCAAGCAACTCCTTCTCTCTGAACCCTTTAGTAGCTTTATAGAGATCTCTGTAACAAAATCTTTGAGGTCCATATTCCTGTTCCCAATCTTCGCGCAATTCTTCATATTTCTTCCTCCATATGATATAAACAACTCCAAAGATTATTGTTATCAGCAAAATAATTGCTATTATTAATGGGATTACAGTACTTAAATCTGGTCTTTTGCTTGATTTTCTTTGAGGAGGAAGTAAAGGAAGTTTTGAGATATCAAGATTTTGAGCTGGCCCACTTCTGTTAAAGCTCCATCCAAGAATATAATGGTAGCTTGACATTGATCCTGTTGAAGAAGAAAAGCCAACATACATAGAATCCAAGAAAACTAAGTGAAGAAGAAAAGCCAACATACATAGAATCCAAGAAAACTAAGGAAAGATCAAGATTTGTTGACAAGAGAGGCTTTTCTGGTTTCTTGATTGTTATAGGAGCTAAAGTAACATTGATTAGCTTCTCTACATCATCATAATCTATCCATACCTGCATTGGATTTCCACTTATTAGCTCTAAACTCTTATTTTCCCTTTCTTCCTCTGAATAGTAGGCAGCTGAAGCTGATACATTCGATATTAAACCATTCACATCAACACCGATATGATTGTTGTCTATGTCTCGAAAGTCTGGAGTCAGTATAGTATCAAACTCAACAGCAAAAATATGGTTTGAGGACAAGCCAATGGTTGTAGAATTAAATAGTCCAAAGTATTGTATCGGCTCTCCTCCTGTTAACTCGATAGATGGAGAGATAGTGAAGGTAAAGCCATGGCCACCAAGATTTGCCAACTGAGGAAGAATGGCAAACACAAAATTGGTGGAAAATGAAAGAGACTGAGAATTCTCTGATGAATGATCATTGAACTTTAGAGGGAATGGAATGAAAGCGCGGCCGATTTGTATAGCTGAAAGATTTGTCAGCTCTAGCAGACCATTCTTGTGAATTTTTGCAATCCCATTAGTATGCAGGTCAGTTTCATTGAAGCCATGGTAGATGAATTGGTTTTCTTCTTTTGCTGCTAAGGCTAACTGTTTCAAGAAGACAAAACTATAGAGTAGAAAATGAAACAATTTAAACAAAGAAAACATTGAGAGACACAATTAGTTGTTGGCTTGAACAAATTTAATCAAAATGCTTTTTGTTCCTATGAATTTTTGAAATGCAGATAATAAAGTGTTTTGAATATAAATATTTCTGTTCTAAATCTTATGGTTTAGCAAATGCTTATTTCATCGCCATTGTGGCTAGGTCAAAGGAAACAAGATTTCTATTTTTTTTTCTTTTTACGTATTCAACTAATAATCTATTTCTGTAATCAAGTTGACAAAAACTCTTGCAATTAAAAAAACTATAAAAAAGATTAATAAATGATCCCCTTGAACAGAACGACAAATTGTAATTTTATTATAATTGGCCACCCATTGGTTGAACTGTACATTACAAGAAAGAAGTATATCAAACCTTTGCAAATTAATGACAAGGATAATGAGTTTTTTAATAATGACTGAAAATGAAATAATTTTTTATTGCAGTCCAAAATTTTAAAAATTGCCTCCTTTTCATTTTCACCAATTTCAGGGAATATGCATATTCCTGGAGTCCTGTTTCTTTCAACTTTTAACTTAAATTTTAACTTAATTTGCTATTACATTTTCTGTTTTGTATATGTATATGAATTGAGTAATAATGTTCTAATAAAGCCTGGACAGCTTGTCTCTAACAATTGGAAGACTTCCAGGAACCCATTGGCTTGACCTTAATTTTATATATATATCATAATATATAGCAAGTGGCGTAACTTCCCTGGAAACATCTACACCAGGTAACTCATCCTGGAGTCCTGTTTCTTTCAATTTTAACTTAATTTGCTATTACATTTTCTGTTTTGTATATGTATATGAATTGAGTAATAATGTTCTAATAAAGCCTGGACAGCTTGTCTCTAACAATTGGAAGACTTCCAGGAACCCATTGGCATTGGGTTGACCTAATTTTATATATATAACATAAATATAGCAGTGGCGTAACTTCCCTGGAAACCCATCTTACAACCAGGTAACTCATCCAAGTGGCAGTATAAAAATAAGCCATCGACATCCTAAGCTGCAAAAATGTCAAAAAAAAAAGAAAAGGCCAAACCTATTTTGCAGGCTTGGCTGCCAGAGGCCAGGCCTTTGGGAAATTTGGTATTTTCAAAATACAGGCCCAGTCCGTTAATAGGTCTAGGACTACATGTTAGAGCTTAGGAATCTTAATTTTCAATCCAGACAGACTTAACTAAACCTAGTAATGAGCTTAAAATATTGATAAAACCAATGAAAAATAAATTGTTTTTGAAACAACGATTTTTCTTACCGGGAAAAAAAAAGGGAAAGTGAGAGCAACTTCTAAAAAAAATTTTTAGGGATTGGTTTGATCTGGACACATATTACCAGATCTAAGCGAGTTTTATACTTTTCAATCAAAAAATTACTTATTTCCCATTAATTGAATTTGTTTAATGCAACCTCTGGGATCAATAACAGAGAGACAAATAGAAAATCTAAAGCTTAATCTAGCCTTTTGGATCTTGTTCATGAAGCAATGGTATTGCATCTGAATTTCCTGAATTTCAAGAACTAAAAACATGCTTTAGTAGAATAAAATTAAATGATACATGGGATTCGAATAAAATAAAAGTTTCAGAATAAAAATTGAACTAAAAAATTTCATTACATTAGACATGTTCTGAGTTCTGACATTTAGCAAGTCCAAAATCGCCCAACCTTCCATTAAGATCAGAATCTAATAAAACATTGCTAGCTTTCACATCTCTATGTAAAACAACTTGTTCCCATTCTTCATGGAGGCAGAAAAGAGCAGATGCTACTCCTTTAATGATTTGATATCGTTGAAACCGATCAAGACTAGGTTTTTCATTGCTAAATAAAAACTTGTCAAGACTTCCATTAGGCATATGATTCATAAACCAAGAAAAGCTCTCCTTTTCGCCGGCAATACCCTAAAAGATGAACAAGATTCCTATGCCTTAGCCTTCCCAAGCTAGCAATTTCAGCTACAAATTCCTTCATTCCCTGTGTTGAATTATGTGAGATTTTCTTTACAGCAATTTGTAGATTAGATAAAGGTAGTGCTCCTTTATAAACCCTTCCAAAACCTCCACAACCAAGAAGCTCTTTGTCTTTAAAACCTTTAGTTGCTTTATAAAGATCCTTGTAAGGAAATCTTTGAGGACCGTATTGTTGTTCCCAACCTTCACGAATTTCTCCATATCTCTTCTTCCTTATCATATAAATAACTGCAGAAATAGTTACCAGAAAAATAATTACAATTGCCAATGGAAGCATAATTGTCAGTTCTAGATTACCCTTTGATTTTCTTTCATGAGGAAGTGAAGAAGTGAAGAAGCTTTGAAAGATCAAGACTTTGTGCTTGCCGCCAATGTTTGTTAAAGCTCCACCCAAGAATATATAATAATTGGTTACTTGCAACACCAGTAGATGCAGAGAAACCAACATACATGGAATCCATGAAAACTAAAGAAAGATCAATACTTGTCGATAAAAGAGGCTTTTCTGGCTTTCTACTTTCTAGAGGAGCTACTGTTACATTAAGTAGCTTCTCCAATTGATTATATTCTATCCATGCTTGAATTGGGTTCCCACTAATGAGTTCCAAGCTCTTATTTTCTGCTTCATTTTCTGAAAAATACGTGACCGGAGCTGATTCAATAGATGTCAAATTGTTAACATCCACTCCAACATGATTGTCATTGATATCTCCAAATTCAGGATTCTTAACAGTATCTAACTCAATGGCAAGTAAATGATTGGAAGGTAAGCCTATCGTAGTTCGTAGTAGGAACGTTAAAAGTCCAGATTATTGAGTTGCTATTGCCTTCTTTAAAAAACACTACTGATGGTGAGATAAGTGAAGGCTAAGCCATGGCTACTCGATTATGCGACTCAGGAACTATAGCAAACACAAAGGTTTGTAGGAAGAAATGCATAACGATGAGAAAGATTGTTGGGCAAATTATTTGTCGAAATGAAATGGGAAAGGAAAGAAAGCATGGACCTATTTGTTTGGTTTTGAAAGTGTTTTTTTCTAATAGACCATTTGGATGGATTTTTGGTGCCCCATTTAGACTTAGATTTGCTCCTTGGAAGCCATTGTAGATGAACTGGTTTGCTTCTTGAGCTAAGGCCAAGTGTTTTATGAATACAGAAAGAGCTAGGAAAAGTTGAAGTGATCTAAGAAATGCTGCCATTGAAGGAAGATTTAGAAAACAGAAAACAGAAAGAATGTGCTTGTATTCTGCATATGAATTTTAATTTCTTGGGCTAAAATATTAACATTTTCCAACTCAATCGAGTGTCAATATCAGGCATGAGAAAAAAAAATGATGACAACAAAGCTTTGATGATCTCAGAATCAAGTTGCTGTTATTGGAGGCTTTGTAGGCGGTCAATAGCATAAAAATGTAGAAGAAATAAGAAGAAAAAAAAATTATTGAATTAATTTTATGCGAAAAATTGCTAAAAAAATAAAAAAAAAGAAATGCTAGGTACTGTGGGCTGCAACGGCGGAGCCAATAAGAAGGAGGGTCAAAATTAATCCATTTGACTGGTCCATATCAACATTCCGGTGGCATTTGGGACGCTATGTGGTAAGATTTTTTTTTTTTTTTTTTTTTTTTTTTTTTTTTTTAAATTACAATTCATTATCAAGTAGTATATCATATTATTATTAGGAAAATAAGAAATATAAATATAAAAAATTTAAATTTTTTATTCGAAGATTGATATTGGCAAAAGAAATTAAATCTTTTTTAAATAGAACGACAAGAAATTTTTACAATTTTGTCCTTTTAGAGACTTATTATACCTAGGATAAAAGTGTAAAATATCAAATATTAATAGAGAAATGGTCCACACTATTAAAAACAATTAAGGTTATTATAACATATAATCACATTTTTTTTAAGATCCTTTTTTACAACATGCTAATAGAAATTTGGATATTTTTATATAAAAATTAAATTTTAGGTACAATAATGTAATAGAGTCTATAGTTTAGAGTGAATGAGTGAAATTAAATTAAAAAGAAAATGAAAAGTTTTATAATTTTAAAATAATTTTTTTAAATTAAGAGACAATTAAATTAAAAAAAAAAAGTTTTAAGAAAAATGGCATAGACCAATTTATTATGTGGTTATTAATTGTTGAAAAAAAAATTAAAGAATTGTATTATCAGTGTAATAAATTTATCATTCGGATTATTAATTATTGCAAAACAAGAAATCAAAAATTTTTTCATTAATACTGTAAATTTATTACTATCACCGTTTCATTAATTTTTTTTGACAGTTTTTGATTTTTCACAAGATTAGAAAAAAAAATATTCAACCACTTCAATTCTATAAAAAATAATGATAATTGATTAAATTATCCTGTAACTAATTCTTTATAACTAAAATGAATAAAGTAATGAATAAAGTTTGGTGAAATAAATTAATATTCTGAAAATATTTCAAAATAATATTTTTTAAAAAATAATTATGTACAACTTTTTTATTATAATTAATCATGCTATAATTATATTTAATATTATATTATATTTTTTATTAAGTTAAAACAATAATTTATAATTTTTACTTACTATTTATTTTTGAAAATTAAAAAAAAATTTAATGCTAATCAGGTATTTAAACGAGTTCAGATATTTAAACTGTAATTGTAATCAGGTTCGGGACGAATTCAAGTAGTAAATGTGAATTTTTAAGTTGGTTCGAGTATCCAATTTATAATCGGATTCAAGTACGAGTAGTGCATTTTTAGCAGGTATTCGACTTGTTACTGAAATACCCCGAAATTTTATTTTCAAAATTTTAGAATTTTTATTAAATCAAAAACCCGAATTTTTGGATAGTATGGGTTGTTAAGACCGAGCAAGTCGAGCAACAGTTTCAACTTGAGGCCTGAATTTGAATTGGGGCGCCCAAGCCCAATAACAGACCTGTCCGGAAAACTTTGATGAAATAAAATGGAACTCTACGATATAAACTAATTTCTAAATTTAATTTCATTATTATCAATTAATTTGTTGTACTATTAGAAAGTAAATTGGATAGAATGTGTTATATCCACTAAATAATTAGATAATTAAACTGGACCTAAAAATCAAAAATTTAATTATGTTGAAACCAAACGAAATGAGACCAAATCACTGAATCGGACCGAACCGGTTTCAATCGAACCGGACCGGCCCATTTCCTTTTCCTTTTCTTTTTTCTTTCTTTTTCTTTTCTTTCTTCTTCTCCTTTCCTCAGTAGCGTCAGTAGCGTGACCACCTCCTCCTCCTCCTCGTCCCTCTTCTTCGATCTCCTTCCTCCGGCCACCAAATTCGGCAAATGAATACTCTAAAAACATCTACTCAACGCAAGGATGAAGATTATAGCGTAGATTTGAATTGAAATTGTGTCTATTTTGAAGGGTAAGAGTTTGAAGTTTTGGACACCCTTTTTCCGGCGATTCACGCCGTTTCAGGCAAGCCTAGGGCTCAAGGTGAGTACCAAATGACTCCTCTCTTCTTCTTCTTTCATTTGATGGCCTCCTCGTCGACTGTAATGGCCGGAATCGGAAAACCCAAAATGGGTATCACCGAACCTTTCCGATCAACCAAAATGGGTATCACCGAACCTTTCCGATCAATTTCCGGCCAAATAGTTCGTACCCACCTTGATTTGAATACATATTAATGATCCTCTCATCGAAACAAATAAAATGATAGATTGTTTGTTAATTTTGGTGATGATTTGAATTTCCGACCACCGTGCATGGCGGTCGGCGGCGGCGGTCCGGTGACCGGACGGCGGCACTCCGGCCACCGTGCACGGCGGTCGGCGGCGGCGGTCAGGTGACCGGCCGGCGGCGCTCCGGCGAGGCCCCGAGAGACAGAATCCTCTTCTCTTCCCGCTAATCATGGAATCGTCGCCCGATTCCCAATGGGTACGTTCTAAGACTTAATTCTCAATTTTTATATATAAAGCATTAATTGATTAATGAATTTAATTGAGTTATTAACTAGACTAAATTGAATAACAAGACATTAACTTATTGGATTAACTTAAAAATATATGAACATTTATGGTCTTTTGTAAATAAATTAGATTGATTAGTGTGCGTATTTGGATAGCGAACATAATTTGTTAACTGGTTTAGGACTTTAGAATAATGTAATTGTAAATTAGTTTAGAACATTGTCAAATAAATTACATGATTAATATTATGATTAGGTGATTTGAGGAGAAAGAATAAATTAGAATTAGTTAATTAGTCAATTAGATAACCATTAGATTAAAACTAGCCGATTGTGCATAAGAGAAATAAGGCGAATTTTAGTTGGTTAACGGTTAGATCCGAAATTTTGATTAATTAAGATTTGGGAGGCCTAGCCATTTTTGATATTGATATAAAAACCGAATTTTAATAGGTAGTAGTTATAATTAGTTATTATTAAAATATGTTTTAGCCGTTTAACAAATTAGTTATCGTAAAGCTAATAATTTAGTTAACTAAAGAATGATTGCTATTACCATTGGAACATGATTGTTGTAAATTAATGGTTGAGTGTCGATATTGTTGTTTTGGAAGGAGGATGGGATTTTAAGTTGATTGATTGCCCGACGGATGGGCTGTGTGCATTGATTTGATAAATATATGATAATATTGTGATATTTGAGCAGGCAAATAGACCAATTTTTAGGGAAGGTGCTGCCGAAATTTTGATAGAACTTAGACTAATTTTAACTAACAACATAATTAATAAGTTTACTTAGATTAGTTCTATAATTTGGTACATAATAAATATAGTGCTGTGCTCTGATTATTTATTATCTTTATTATAGATTTCATTATTTACATATTTACTTATTTATTTTCATCCTTATTGTTATTATCGTTATTTATTTTATTATTATTGTTGTTTATTGTCAATACTATTATTTATTTATCTATCCGCATTGATTTTGGATGTTTAATCACGCATTGCATTATAATGTCTAATCGATCAATATGTTTGCATTTGACTGCAATGTTTGATTAATTGTGTTGTGATATTGCCGTGCTTTGATTGTGTGGAATTGGGATGAAGTGGGTCACCATGGGTTTGTGAGGACGGTCGAAAAAGCATGGATGTGAGGACGGTTGGAGGACGACCGTCGGCGGAAAGGTAAAATGGGAGATTCGGCGCCCCTCATCGTTGTGTACCTACTGTTGTGATTTGTAATGATATGGGGAAAACCACAGGTTGGCTTCTTTATTGGGTGATAATCTAGATTTGATCGCAGCCCGCAGGGTGACCTCCTGTTGTGAGCGCCTGATGATCTAGATTTGATGGAGACGACCGAGTTGCCTCCTGTTGATAAAAAAAAAATAAATAAAAATAAAATAAAAAAAGAGGGAAAGACTGGAAAAATAATGAGAGGACTGGTTGTGTGAGAATTGAACCGGTCGGCCAGAATGGGGGATTGGCTCCCTGGTGCACACGTGAGAGGATGAGCCATGTGGGAGGACGGCTCATCGGGGTTCGATGACTCCACTGACTAATTTCCACGTGATGTGATTTGAGTGATTAAGGATTAGACCGGTCGGCCAGTATGGGGGATCGGCTCCCTAGTGCACATGTGAGTGGATGAGCCATGTGGGAGGACGACTCATCGGGGTTTCGGTGACACCGCTGACTAATTTCCACGTGATGTGATTACATGAAGATGTTAACGATTGTGGGTGCTGATAATATGCAATTTGTGTGAATTCATGTGTTGTGAAATAGGTATTCCTTCTTAGAAGGTTCACATATCTTGTTTAATTTTTCAGGAAGTAAGTTTCTCTTCAATTCGGTTAAGTTATGTTCCTTTGCGCAGGGCTAGAAGAAAATTTTTCCAGTTTCATAATTATTTTGCTATGTAATTATATGTATAAAAAACTATGTATACCAAATAGTTAGTGACTCCGCAGTTGTAGAATTTACTTACATTTAGTTGTGTATTATCATAGACGAAATTATTCCGTTAGCCCCATCATTAAAAAGTGGATGTATTGTTAATTGGGCCCAAACTCGTGAAAAATGTGGTAGCTGATTATTTGGCCGAACTTTGATAAAATCTTGAGTTTATTTCTTTTTCTCTATAAATTATGAGCTGAACGTTTAAAATTAATTTGAGGTAAAATTAATTTGAGGTAGTAAATTTTTAGTATTTCAGGCTTACTACGGGCCTCGGGGGCCTTAAGCTTACCTGGGCCCTAGTGCCGGTCCGGTCCATGAAATCGGGTCGTAACAGTTACAATCCTTAGTAGTGGTGGAGTGTTGGTGCACGGATTACAATATATATTTATAAACAAATATAAAAGTGGAATGATGATTACATGTATAAAGTTTTTTTAATCACATGACTAAACATAATAATGAAATTTTAATTACATTCCATTACAATACATTTTTTACCACGACTCCTTTTGTTTCTATAAACTTGTAGAAAAATATTTTCCATGATTTTTCATTGTTTGGAGTGTTCAGAAAAATAAGTGAAAGCAAAATATTTTCTTGGTCAAAGAAAAATTAAGTTATTTTTTAAAGAAAATAATTTTTTATTTTTGAAAGAGTAAAATATTTTCCGGACATTGACATATCTTATCATATATATTTTTTTTAATTTATTAATCATCACAGTCACTACTACTAGTCATCATTTACCACCGACCATCATTTAACCACCACCACCGGCCACCGACGACTTTCATAATTTATATTTTCTTTTCATTCTTCTCATATTTAATAATAAAATTGTTAAATTATAAAATTTCTATTATTATTAGAATTTCAAAATTTCTATTATTATTAATATTTATTATTGTTTTATGAGATAAAAATTTTAATACTTTTAACTAATTTTCAATATTACAATCAAATAACAGAAAATAAATCATTTGAAAATAAAAAATATTTTTTAATAAATTATTTTTTTGCAATTTATTTTTTAAAAACAAACATAGCATTCGGTATATCGCATCAAATCTAACCAAATATAGCCGAGTGTATATGTGCCGTTTAAAAAGAAGGCACTAAAATGGTCCATGTGCAGAGGATATTGTTGATGCCGGCTCAAAAACAAGTCCAAAAGGTAAAAGCCCAAGGTTAGAACCCATGAGCAAAGCCTTAATGTAAAAAAATCTTCCAGATTTCTACATAAGTATTTCCTCTCCGGATGAATCTAACTTTAAAATTTCCACCATTCAGCGGCCAAAAAGACTAAAACGTGCTCTTAATTATACGTGAGATTATGATTTTAAGTATGTTAAATTGATAATTTTTTTGACAGTGGGAAACTTTGTTGAGGTAACCTAGAAATAAATTAAAATGAAACGTATTAATTGAAATTTAGATTGATATTAAATATTTAAAAAAAAAAATTTCCGTTTTCATGGTTTGGTTATGTCCTAGGCCTAGAGGAAATTTCAATGTCCCTTTCATTATTGTGAATAAGAATTCCTTTTTCATTTCTGTTCAATCTGTTTCAATAGTTTCATTTCTGTTCAAACACATTAATGTTTTACTTCGTTCTCCTGAATATGTATATTGATCAGCAAAAGACCTAACGGCCATTGATGAGAACTGAATTTATATCAGACAAGGAATAGGAGGCAGCATCATTGGTAGACGCTACAAAAGAAATTGAATCTGTACATGCTGTATAGCTACCTGAAACTAAACTGATATCAGGCAATGTAGCATTTCCATCCAAATACTGCAAAACTTGCCTCATTGTAGGCCTAGCTGCCGGGGAATGATGTGTACAAACCAAACCAAGTTTTAAATGGTACAACCAAACCAAGTTTTAGAAACCAACTCCATTTCTCTCAATGGACATAGTTACTATTCCCAATCTTGGATAACAGACCTCGAGTAATAACACTCTCTTTTTCCACAACTGAGTGCGTCAAATCCAATTCAAACAACCTCGGTTCTCGATTCGAATTGTCTTTCTTGCTCTGAAATCATGGTCTCTCCTTCCCCAACAAGCACTTCCAAAGCGAAAATTCCCAAAATGAAAAACATCACTACCTAGTAGTAGGCTTGCCAGTTCTTATAAGCTCGGTGCTAAATACCCCCTAACCGGTTCCTGACTAAACAGTATGCCTTGAGGATCGTTGATCCGCGATCATTAAAACTTAGAAAAGCCCAAAACCCTATCTGTCCCTTAAAGTTTCAAGAATCTAATAAAACATTACTATGGCTTTAACACATCTCTATGCAAAACAACATTGTTCCCATTCTTCGTGAAGGTATAGAGAGCATATTTTCACATCTTTTATGATTTGAATATAAGATGAATCAATCAAGATTTTGTTATTTCCCATTGCTAAATAAAGGAACTTATCAAGAACCTTTGCCGTTAGGCATATAATCATAAACCCAATAAAAACGCTCTCCTTTTCGCCGACAATGAGCCCTACAAAAGTCTAATCCAAATTCCTATGCCTAGCCTTCTGTGCTTGCAATTTTCAGCTACAATTCGCCTTGATGCCTTGTTTAGAATCATGCGAAACTTTCTGACTGCAAAACTTGTACATTATTTGAAGGTAATATCCTTTATAAAGCCTTTCCAAAACCTCCACACCCGGAGAAAGCTCTTTGTCATTAAAACCTTTTAGTAGGCTTTGTGAAGTCTTAGGTAGGAAATTCTTTGTGGGTTGACGGACCATATTGTTGTTGCCCAATCTGTCGAACTTCTTTCGGATCTCTCTTCCTGCATTCGCTAAAGATAGTTAGCTAATATACTTATGAAAACAAAAACAGTTAGTGTCACTAATGAAGTACAATTTTAATTTTGATTTTCCCTTTTCACGAGGAAGCTTTGGGGAAGCTTTGAAAAGATCTAGACTTTGGGCTTGCGCGCTTGCCCGCTATCGTTGAAGCTCCACCCAAGAATATAATGGTGACTTGCATAATTAGAACCAGTAGATGCAGAGAAACCAACATACATAGAATCCAAGAAAACTGAAGATAGATCAATTCTTGTTGACAAAAGAGGCTTTTCTGGTTTCTTGATTGGTAATGGAGCTAGTGATACATTAACTAGCTTCTCCGTTTGATTATAGTCTATCCATACTTGAATTGGATCCCCACAGTTAAGTGCTAGGATTTTGTTTTTGGCTTCATTTGGCAGCAAGTAGGAGGCAGGAGCTGATTCGATAGATGTCAAATTGTTAACATCAACTCCAACATGACATCAACTCCAACATGATTGTCATTGATATCTCCAAATTCCAGGTTCTTTACAGTATCTAATTCAATGGCAAGTAAATGATTGGATGGTAAGCCTATTGTAAAAGCGTTAAAAAGCCCAAGAAATTCAGTTGCTACTGCTCCTTTGAATTGTGTAGATGGTGAGATGATAAAGGCAATGCCATGGCCGCCACCACTTACTCCATTTAAAGTCTCAGGAACCATGGCAAACACAAAGTAAACACAAAGTTGGTAGAAAAAGAGAAAGAATCTGAATTGTTATTGAATTGCAAAGGGAGATGAAAGAAAGCATGACCTATTTGTCGGTGTGAAGTGTTTGTTAGCTCTAGCAAACCATTAGGAAGGACTTTGGCGATACCATTGAGACTTAGATTGGCTTTGATAAAGCCATCATTGTAGATGAATTGTGTTATCCCTTCTGATAAGGCCAAGAATTTGGAGCAAACAAGAAAAGCTAGCAAAATTATAAGTAATTTAACCAATTTTGCCATTGAAGAAAAGTAAAAGAAGGAATTATGTTGTTATCTAGTCTGTTTACTTACATCAGGATATCTTAAAGGCCAAGAGACCCCAAGCCTCTGGTTCATTGAACCAAAATTGTTAATTCAATGAACCAGCAGGCTACCCAGAAGTCAAGGTTAGAACAGTTTTAGCTAATTAGTTTTTTAAAACGCGTGCCTTGCATGACCCACCGTCCAATAAAAAGTTGTTTTATGATTGATTAATTTTTATAAGCATAATAATAGCATAATGAAACTCATAATTACATGTTATTTTTTTAATATTAGTATGATCTAATTGTAGTTAAAATTTATTTTTTAAACATATTTTATTACTTTTATAAGTATGTAATGTATGTAATAATAAGTTTCTTGATATTTTTGTTTATTTCTTTTAAATATTAGTACTCATCATTGAATTAAAATATTTATCCTTCTTTTAATATTAAGATTACTAATTGAGTTCAAATATTTCTAGTTTATTTAAAAAATATTTTTCCTTTTTTGTTTTACAAAATGTTTGGTTGTGAAAATATTTTTCAAATTTAGTTTTTTCACTAGGTGAAGCCGCACTTTGCGCGGGTTATTTTGATAAATTATAATTTATAAATACATATTTAAAATTTTATTTTTTTTATTGATATACATTGTCTTTCATTGTCTTTTTAAAATTGTATTTATTATTATTAAAAAGATTTATTCTGATTTCTAGTTATATTAAATTATCTTGTTTAATAGAATTGAAATACCTTGAAATTTATGATCAAATAAAATTCAATGAAATCATACCTAGCTTTAGTTAAAAGTTTATAATTCAAAATTTTTAAACATTATATTCTTATTATAAATAATTCTATACAAATCCCCTCAAAAAAAAAAAAAAAGATAATCTATACATATAAAGCTTCCGGTTTAAAATAACTTCAATAAATAAATATTATTTATAAATTAATTATGAACTTATGAATACCGTAAAATTCATAATCAATTCTCTATATATAAAATAATAAAAATTATATACTCGAAGCCTCCAACACAATAGTTATACAGTCTTCATCCTTCCTTCACTGTACATCTATCAAATCATGGCATGTTACAGGTTAATTGCAATCTCCTTTTCTTTACCACCTATAATACACTGATTTCATTTTCTTTAATGATAGAACAATCTCAAATCCGCAAAAGTATCATCCATGTTAGTGCATAGCATTAATCAAAATACTAAATTAGCTCAATTAGTGAATGAGTAATTGGTTTAATCAATGAGTAAAATATTAATAATTATATTAATTAAATAATTATAATTTTAAAATATCAAAAAATCAGTCTAATCGGGTTTCACGGATTGACTAATTCAACCATAAGTTAATTGATTCAATATAATTTCTCTTTTTTAAATAGTTCAAAAGAAAAATCGGCTCGATTTGGAAACTGCTTCACTGGTTCTTTGTATTATTTAATAGTTATGATACTGAGTACTATCTAATTATTTATGGTGGACTTTAAATGTGGAGTTTTTGAAACAATCTTCATTCACATAATGAAGATCAAGATGTAAGTGGACATGAATTTTAGGGTGTTTGCTCTATTTCAATCCATTTAATAAGAGTACGATAGTTATAAATAGATTCAGAATAGATACAGATAGTCAAATTACCATTCATGTCAGATACAGATAATTAAAATACATGTATATAAGTCTTTTGATACATGTTATTCATTACCCGCTATATTAAATAGATCTGGTCATAGTACTCATTATATCTTACCATCATTAATAAAATTTTAAATAATCTTGGATTTGAATAATTTAAAATTTATGAATATTATTTTAGCTGAATTTTGAAATGAGTATGTACAATAAAATTTTGAATGAATTCAAATACGAATACTTAAATAAATTTTCAACAAACACGAATAATAAAATAGATATGAATAACCTGATGTTGCATATTAGAACTCATTAAAGCCCGACTTGCATCATTATGCTCGATAAAAGGACACTTTCATCCTTAGTTGTACCTTTAAAAAAAAAAGAAAAAAGAAAAAAGCATTAGCTTTTCCAAGCTAATTAGGGTATACTCGGCAAAATTAATTGTTTTTGTAACTATTAGTTGTTTTAGTAACATTTAACTATTAACTGTTAGTTGTTAGCTATTTGAAGAGCTTTTTATAAACTAAAAGCTAAATGTTACATAGGTTAACTTTTTATAAAAAGATTATTTTAATATTTAAAAATTAATTTAAACACTATGTTACCGAACATTATAATAAATAAATATAATTTTAGAAGTTACATAAAAAGATATTACCAAACACAGTTTAGTCTTAGCTTTTTTGCCACGCTACAAATACACACTCACGTGTAGACTCTTGACTTGTGATCAATGGCGAAGGGAGGATACCCGGGTTGGCTAACAATTTTTTTTTAAGATTTATACCTAGAAAATAGTGAAAATTTTTAATTTTACTCTTAAATTATATATTTTTTAATTTCATTTTTTTGTTTTGCCCCTGACCTTTAATTGCTTCTCATGATTGTACGTCAATGAAAAGAACGAGAAAAAGCATTAGCTTCTAAGCTAATGTGTCAACGTTTTCCACACGCTGCGCGGGAAATACACGCTCTTATAGACCATTGAGTTATGAAAACTGAGTACTATATGTCTAACTATTTATGGTGGACTTAACTGTGGAGTTTTTGAAATAAATTTCTTATCCTTGCTTTTGGACTAGAATAATATTTAGATAAAACCTTTACAATAGTGATAATTTTAGATTTTAAATCACTTGGTTTTATAAATATAATATCTTTGCAATATTGATAATTTTGAATTTTAAATCACTTGATCTTATAAATAAAATTCGTATAGAAATGCAATTTATTTCTATTAATCCAATCATTTATTGGTAAATATGAAATATTTTAAAAATGAGAAATAACGAATTTGATGGTTTAAACCATTGATTGCTTTATTTATTATAATATACAAATTTAATAATAAAAAGTCTGAATTTTGATATTTTTTTTATTTAAATAAAACCTTTGCAACAGTGATAATTTTAGATTTTAAATCACTTGATCTTATAAATAAAATTCGTATAGAAATGAAATTTATTTCTATTAATCCAACCATTTATTGTTAAATATGAAATATTTTAAAAATGAGAAATAACGAATTTGATGGTTTAAACCATTGATTGTTTTATTTATTATAATATACAAATTTAATAATAAAAAGTCTGAATTTTGATATTTTTTTAATTTTAGCAAATATTTTTAATTTTGTCCGTCAATAGATTCCACATCGAAAATTATGAAAAAATAAAAATGTGAATGATAAAAAGAAATTGTGTTTGGTAAAATGAAATATAAGTTCAATTTTTTATCCAAGTTTTGAATTAAACCAATGAATTTAAAATTTAAGAATTAATATTTAGTGAAAGTATATAATTTTACAATATAAAACATACATAAACACATTCATTTTAAGAATTAAAATTATTAAAATTTAATAACTTTTCAGACATCTCAAAATATATTAAATATATATAATAACTTTTTCCCACTCTCTATACATAAACACAACTCCCATTATTATCATCCAGTCGGAATTCAGCTAAGCTCATATCTATTCACAATCTTTTAGTTTGCACTTTTCAAAATTTATTATTCTAACCTTTTATTCAAAATTTTAATAAAGGTAAACATAAAATGAGATATTCGCGTAGCTTAGTATGGAGACCAAATTCGCACAAATGATATGGTAATAATTCCAAAGGTATAATCAATTTATAAATTTTAAAATATCTCGCCAAGAGTTTGTAAACAACATTAAGGTTACTAGTATTTTTTTTTATGTATTCAATTCCTCTGAACCTTATTGTAGGAGATAATTGTGGGCTTCTTATGATCCTAATCAGGAGAGACGTGTTATGATCGTGAACGTAGTCACATTAGTGAGTACAATTATCCTTGTAAATGCGGCATAACTGTTGAATTGATTTATTACAGGATTTATTTGATTTAACTTATAAGGTCTAGAAAATTACTTTAAATATTCTATTGTTAAGAAAGTCAAGTAAATCTAGCAGCTAACGAATCTTATTTTATACTCTGGGATCGTAAATCCTCGTCAACGTCTTCCCTCTTCTTACTCTCAGTCTTCTCTCTCTTCGTTGTGTTATAACGTATAAAGTAATAAAAGAAGTACCTGAAATTGATCCAGCTCTATCTCAGTATATTACAAATGCGATATCGACTTATCGTCTAAAATTATAACATAATGGTGCACGATTGATGTGATAGATAGAGTATAGAAAAAAATTTGTCCACTCTTCTCTCTTTGTCAATCTTCGAAAATCAGATTTTTTATGACTCAGGTACATCTATGGATTGAGCCAATATTATTATCCATTGATACTACTTTCGACCGAAGGGGAGTTAAAAAGATTTTATATTATATCAGCACATGATTTTATACCTACAAGTACAGATTTATAGGTAATTATATCCAAAGGCATGGTTGACATAGACTATGCTCAGTTCATATACTATGTCAATTGAAGAAATAGCTATCGGTCTCCAGATCCTTATGTTCGTATATTGGTTTCAACTTGGAGTAAGGTGAAATATTTTTTTTTCATATTTTTGTATCGTAGTAATGCATCAAAATAATTTTTGTGATTGTCAATGTTAGAATGATTTTCTTAGAGAATTAGTATTAAAACTTAAGGGTATATAGTGAATTTACTCAATAATTTATTGTAATTAGACAAATTTAATAATTTTCTTAAGGACGTGAAATTCTAAAATGTGACACAATATTATCGAAAACATAGACTAATTCATCTTGTGGTTACCTTCATTTTTTAAAGTAATCCAAAACTGCACCTTAAATCATTGGTCCTATGTCGAGAAATGAAATGAGATTAAGCTTTGCAATAAATGATTATTGAAATACGCTATTTAATTCACCTCTGATGAGTATATATTTAATATACTAAGTTAGACACATCTAGAAAACATTCCCTTCTTCTCTTTATCTATTTTTATTTTTAATATTTCTCTACACTAAGACGTGAATTTAACATTACAGTACTCCAGGATCAAATCCATGGTTGTGTCAGACAAACAGACAATTTATTCAGGAAAGTACGGGGAATGTACGAATACTGATGGAGGAAAATTACGGCAAGAAGACAAATTCTATAACAACTACGATACTATCACAGGTAAATCCTATATCCTGGTGCATTGTAAACATTCATGCAAGATATGGCAAAACATTGCCTTATTGTAGGCCTTGCTGATATGAAATATAGGCACAGGCATTTTAGAAGGAAGATATGGAATTTCATTCTCAAATTTCAAAACTTGAATTGCTTGTCTTATTGAAGGCCTATGAGCACGATCAGGATGAGCGCACCATAATCCAACGATCATCAGACACTCAATTTGCCTCTCATCAAAATCCATATAAAGTTCCTTGTCAAAACCCAAATGAAGCTTACCATGCCCATAAAGTTCCCAAATCCACTCTACTAAATTCATGTCATTTTCTTGCTTAATTATATGATCAACTGCTCTTTTCCCACTGGCAATTTCTAAAGCCACGATCCCAAAGCTGTATACATCTGATTCTTTACTAGCTCTTCTTGTGAGCATGTATTCCGGAGCTAAGTAACCCAGAGTTCCGGCCAACCCAGTTGTCTGTGGACCGAGTTCATGGTCCATAAGACGCGCTAAACCAAAGTCACCAAGCTTCACATTAAAATTAGAGTCGAGCATTACATTGCTCGACTTAACATCTCTATGCACTACGCATTGCTCCCATTCTTCATGAAGATAAAGCAAAGCCGAGGCTAGACCAAGTGATATTTTGTAACGTACAGACCATGGAAGAGGATTTTTCTTACCAAATAAGTGAGCATCAAGACTACCATTAGGCATGTAAATCATAAACGCAAGAAAGTGTCTCTTTTCGCGGGCACAGCCTAAAAGTCTACCAGTTTCCCTATGCCTTAGCCTTCCTGTGCTTGCAATTTCAGCTACAAATTCCTTCATAACCTTGTTTAGATGCATGCGAAACTTTCTTGAACTGAAACTTCACATTATTTGCAAGGTAAATCTACTTCCTTTTTATAAACCTTCAAAACCTCCCCTTCCGAGAAGCTGTTTTTGTCCTTTAAAACTTAGTAGCCTTTATCAAGATCCTTATAGGAATTCTTTGAGACCATATTGTTGTTCCCCCACTCTTCAGGAATTTCTCCATATCTCTTCTTCCGCATACAATATAGGTTGCTCAATATATTAATGATAAACAACATAATTGGTGTCACTATAGAAGCACAATTTTTAATTTTTGATTTCTTTCGTGAGGACGCTTAGGAAGCTTTGAAAAGATCAAGACTTTCCACCTTGCCCACTATTGTTGAAGCTTCCATCCAAAATATAATGTGACTTGCATAATTAGGCACCAGTAATGCAGAGAAACGCAACATACATCGAAATCCAGGAAAAACTAGAGAAAGAATCAATTCTTGTTGACAAAGAGGCTTTTCTGGTTTCTTTGATTGGTACCTGAGCTAAGTGTTATCATTCAGTAGCTTCTCCATTTGATGGGTAGTCTATCCAACACTTGTATTGGATCCCCCACTTTTAAGTTCTAAGCTTTTTGTTTTTTCGCTTCATTTGTGGGAAGTAGGATGCAGGTTGCTGATTCTTAGATGTCAAATCGTTAACATTCCTACTCCAACATGATTGTCAAATTGATGTCTCCAAATTCAGGGACTTCTGCACAGTGTCTAATTCAACGGCAAGTAACATGGTTGGCATGCAAGCCTATTGTAGTAGAGGTTTAAAAGTCCAAGACATTGACTTATTGCTGACCTTTGAATTTCTATACGACGGTGAGATAGTAAAGGCAATGCCATGGCCAAAGGCCTCACCCTGGAGGCAAGACTCCCGGAAACGCATGGCAAAACACAAAGTGGTAGAAAATGAGAAACGAGGCTTTGAAATTGTTATTGAATGCAACGGGAATTGGAGAAAGCATGACCTGTTTGCTGGTTATGAGATGTTGTTAGCTCTAAAAACCAATTAGGAAAAGGACCTTTTGGCAATAGCACTGAGAACTTAGATTGGCTGTAGTGAAGCCATTATTTGTAGATGAATTGTTTTTGTCTGTTGAGCAAAGGCGCAAGAATTCAGAGCAAACAAGAAAGCTGCAAAATAAAATTAACTGAACCAATTTTGCCATTGAAGGAAAAGAGGAAAGAAGAAGGAACTGATGCATTTAATCATAAACGTATATAATTCAAAGGTTAATGAATTAAGGTACCAACTGGTCCATTTATGACTCGAGTGTGGAGATACATGCAGATAAAACAAAGGAAAATTATTTATTTAGTCCCAGGTTTTAAATAATTATCTACATAATCCCTGACGTTTAATATAATATATATGACTAGTTCCGGATATTTACTCCGTCTAATTAAAAGTCTCGTCTAACAATTTGGTGTTTTGCCCTTAATTGACAACTATATATATATATATATATATATATATATATATATATATATATAATATATATATATAATATATATATACTATATATGCGAGCCTGTATGGAGACCAAAAAAAGGTATCAATTGATAAAATTAAAAATATTGGACCAAATTGAAACACAAACGTTAAAGTTCTTAAGTCTTTTAATCATTAAACTTTATTATATTGATATGTGGCTCTATGGTGGGAGCCGTGCATGATCGCGCTAAACTGTCACATTAGTGAGCTTTTCTAACAATTCCCTCCATTAGGCTATAATTGGTTAATTAAATATTCAAGGATTAAATTAATAAAGTTGAAAAAATTATTAAAATATTGTTTTTAATAAATCAAGTCCAACTGCAAGCTAATAAATCCTTTTTTCTCTCTCTTTGTCTCTCTCGTCTTGTGTGTGAGTTTAAAGGTTTCACATCCCTGAATTTCGTCTAATTGTTTTTCATGCGAATGTCATGCCTAATTATAGAGACGGCTAACACAGTCAGGTCATGAACTTATTCCCCGAAAAGGGCTGTTCAAAAAAATTTGTTTTTTTTCTGATACCAAGCGTTTTAGCAAATGCATTATTAACTCCGTTCATAATATTTGTCATATTTTGAAAAAATAACTTGGCTCCAGAATTACTTGTTGTATTAATGAGGTAATAAATGTTTTTTTTTTCATATTTTTTGACGCAATAATTTTTAAATTTCAATTTGATGATTTCTGGAGAATGAGTATTTAAATTAGGATAATATAGTGAATTTACTCAATAATTTATTATAATTTAGATAAATTTACTAATTTTCTTAAGAAACGTAAATTCTAAATGTGGAAGTATTATGAAACATAGGTAATAACTGTATTAAAAGCATTTTTCAAAGTAATAGAAAGCTGGACAAATAGGTTTTTCTGACAGAAATGAGATTAAACCTTTGCAATAATGAATTTTAAAAGATATCTAATTTATACTTGGACGAGTAAATATTATATACTGAGTAAAAGAACAACAGAAAAACATTTCCCTTTTTTTTTTTTTTTTTTTTTTTTTAACTAAGAGGAATAACATTACACAGGACAAATCCTACGTTGTGTCAGACCAAGACAATTTTTCAGGATAAGACGGGACAGGTTAATGAATTGATGGTACCAACTGGTCATTGTTACTTGTTGATGATGGTGGGGACAAGATGCTTTATTCAGCCAGTAATGTGAAAGTGGATGTTCTGTTCATTTGCATGAAGTTCCATGAGAGTTCTCTTTCATTTGCATGAAGTTCCATGAGAGTTCTCTTAAATTCTTCTTTTCTTTTCAATATTATAAGTGACAAGCTGAAATGTAGTTATGCAAGTTAAATGAATCTTCTTTTTTATTATTATCTTCTTTAAAGATTCATTTAACTTACATAAAACATTTCAGCTTGTCACTTATAATATTGTTTACTATTCAAGATATTTGCGAAAGAAATGAAGAGATGTCAGTATCAAAATCAGCAAACTCCAAATTCTCAATTAAATTCTTGATCATTTCACTCATTTAACATATAAACAATATAAATCAATTGTCTAAACATATAAGGAATATAAAAATAAATAAAAATTATTGAAATATATATTATTCACGAGAAACTAAAAATATAACTAACAACCTAATACACTAACGGTAAAAGGCCAAATCATTAAAAATACTCCAAATATTAAAGGTAGTTTTAATTGTACCATAAATTCAATTTTCTCCTTCTACTACCCTCAACTTCAATTTTAGTTAGGACAGCACCTTAGTTTCAAATTGTACCCAATTTAATATGGGAAAAATAATTATTTCGTCCATGAGGTTTGCCATAATTATTTAAGTAGTCTCCGACATTTATACAAATATTTATAACATCCCTGGGTTTACTTCCATCTTATTAATTGGTCTTTCAGTAAAAAAAAAAAAAAAAACTTTTTCCGTTAATTTTGAAAGAAAAAGACAAAATTATCTTTTATAAGTTTTCATTATTTCGTCTCTGAGGTTTGCCATAATTATTTAAGTAGTCCCTGACATTTATATAAATATTTATATATAACATCCCTCGATATTCACATCGTCAATATTATTTAATCCTTTCGTCAAAAAACACACTTTTCACTGTAAATTTTTAAATAGAATGACCAAACTACCTAAATCCTCTAAATTAACATATGCCTTACTTTCAACTACCTTAAGTCCCTAAATTTACCAAATTAGAAATTTTTAATCTAAAATTTGGGTAAATTTTCTAAATTTTTTAATGTGCTTTGTTTCAATTTTGAGTTTAAAATCAACCTGGGTGATTAACTTTATTTAGTTTACAATTATGCTTAAATTTACATGGGGTGTGTTAATGGTGGTGTTTGGGTTTCAAGTGAAACAAGAGGAGCTAAATGTGGCTGTGTAAATTTTTTTCTTTGCTGTATTGTATTCTTTTTGCAGATTTTGCAATATGTCCTTGTTTCTGGATAATTGCTAAGGTTATTGTATGCAAAGGTATGCATTGGGATGGCAAATACAAAAGATTAAGTAGCTGGAACATGTTTTTGATGCTCAAGTAGATGTTGTTCATTCTGCTTTGAGGCTCTATGGAATTTTGTTTTTTTTGTGAGTGAGTGAGAAGGAAAGCAAATGAGTTGAAAGGAAGGATATGTTAATTAGAGGATTTAGGGTAGTTTGATCATTCTATTAAAAATTAACAGTAAAACAGTGTGTTTTTTGGACGGAAGTATCAAATAATAATGACGGAAGTGAACCTTACGGATGTTATAAATATTTATATAAATGTGAGGGAGTACTTAAATAATTATGGCAAACCTGAGGGACGAAATAATGAAAACTTATAAAGGATAATTTCGTCTTTTCCTATCAAAATTAACAGAAAAAGTGTGTTTTTTGGACAGAAGGACCAATTAATAAGACGGAAGTAAACCTCAGAGATGTTATAAATATTTGTATAAATGTCGGGGACTACTTAAATAATTATGGCAAACCTCAGGGACGAAATAATTATTTTCCCTCGTCAGGGGAACGAAATAATTATTTTCCCTTTAATGTACAAACACTGTTAGTTTTATAAGACCTAATTTAACATTTTCTTCCCAAATCAGACTCCTTTTTCAACCACCGTTTGCTTATAAATAAATAAATATTTTATTTTATTTATATAAATATTAAAAAATAAAAAGATAATCTACTTCATCCTAAAAATAAAATACTTTTATTTTATTATATAAATTGAAAGCAAGCAAAAATGAACGGCAATAAGATAAATAACATCTATTTAAATTAAAGATCTAACTTAAGTATAAACAAAAATTTATGCTTAAACATAGCAAAACAAAAAATGTAAACTATATTCTACGCTTATAACTACTAAAATTTGATATTTATTTGGCTTCTTATGATAAATTCCTAACCTATTATTAGTTAGTATGTTTGTTAAATGTGGAGTTTTTTGATTGTCCTGGCCATAAGGGAAGAGAGTATAGATCAGTGAAAATAATATTATTTATTCATTAAGATTGGATACAATTTAAATTATGGTGCTCCTTATAACTAAAATTGAACTTCAGATTATTAAGAGAAAAAATTAGATTTTAAACTACCTCAACAAAATTTTCAAAAGTTTTTTTTTAATGATTTAGGCCACCCGTAAAAATGTGTGCACTTTATGCAAAATGAGATAAAGACATTCATAGGAGGAGATAAGAAAGTTTGTACATAACATGTTTTTCTATGACGCAGGAGAGGAAGAAAGTTTTGAATTCCTCTTGTTCAATAATGGTTCCTTTACCGCACTGGTGATGTCAAAGTAATCAATTTCTAGACTAGAAGTAAGTAAAAAAGCAAGAAAATATCAATACGCAACATGCATATATATTCCCTTCGTTTGTTAAATCCGTGAAAATTTTATGTGAATTAAGAGAATTTAAATTTGAAATTCTCGCCGTAACTAAATGAGAAAGCCAATCAAACCAAACGATACCCAAATGCCTTTATTTTTATTATAATTTTTTGCTCCCTCTTTATATATTTTATTATTCTTTTTTAATGGGATTGAGTTGGTAATTACCGCCAGTCTTGAAGTTTAAATTTTTTGTTTTGACTTTATTGCTATGTTCAAGTAATTGGTCTTTGTTCGAAAACATATATGATGATTTGTGGCCGAAAATAAAGCACCAATTTAATAGAATGACCAAACTACCCTAAATCTTCTAATTAACATATCCTCCATTTCAACTACCCTAAGTCCTCTAATTTTACCCAAAATTTAGAAATTTTAATCTAAATTTTGGGTAAATTTCTAAATTTCTAATCTACTTGTCTTTATATATATATATTTTTTTATTTAAATTAAGATTTATAGTCTTTGAATATGAACGAAAGAATTCTAAAAAAAAAAAAAATACTGATTTGGGAAAAAAAAAGGGGGTAAAGCAATTTTTAGTGAAGAAAAAGCAAAACACTGTTGAGGGGAAAAAAGTAATACAATTCTTAATTGGGGAAGAAAAATCATGTTATCGTTACGGAATGCATGGTAATAAAATATTTAATTTTGAGTCAATTAAATATGGCTTATTAGTCTTTCTACTTTAGAAAAGACGGCTAACATATATAGGTTCATTGTATGGTTCACAAAATAAAATACTCTTAAAATTTAAATTTTAGTTAGCACCATTTCCACTAAAATTGAGTTCAAAGTGGTTAATTATTCTTTTCTTTTTCCAAGCATTTTTTGCCAAATGTAAGAACAAGAAGAATTGATCGACAAATGGGAATTGATGATTTATATACAATCAGAAAACAGAAGTTGATTTCTTCAATAATACATGCATATTGATCATCTGAATTAACTTTCCACTATTAATAAAATAAAATTATCCGTAAATTACATGGCAAATTTCTAGCTACATAATTATATTTTCCCCTTTGCTTTCTTACTGCTCTGGCTGCTCATCACCATCAGTATGCGAAATTTTGAAGAACGACAAATATGAAGAACGACAAATATGAGAAATTTTGATGGGTGATCGAAAATGATATTGCTATATTTCTTTGTTTGATACCAAAATTCATCAACTACTTTTCTTTCACTGTCATCCAGTTTCAAGCAATACTGGCTTATCCTATGTAGTCATTTTCCCATTCAAAGCATAAATAATAGAATAACCAGTAGTAAAAATTTTGGGAATCCTTTGACTTGACCAAATTTAGAAAAGGGAATCCTTTGACTTGACCAAATTTAGAAAAAAATTATATTACTGGTGATATATATTAAATAATGGTGCAAATTGGTCAATAGTGCAGAAAATAAACCTGTTAGAGTGACTCAAATTAGTATTCTGCTGTCCTGATTCCTCTTGCTTTATAGTGTTTGTAATATAATTTGGACAGTCTTATTTATGTTTTTTTGTATAATCAGGACGTGTAATCCCTCTTTAGATCGTAAAGCGTAAAGGTTTATGGTTCTACAGCAAAGTGCGCTTGCTGGGGATCAAACTTGTATATGGTTCTTGTGAACTTAATCAAGATCTGATATTTAGCAGCAAAGATTCATCAAAACAAATGAAAAACTTATTTGGATTTCTATCTCATTATCCACGAAACTAGTCATGCTTGAACCAAATCCTATTAAATCAACATTTACAAATGAACTATAACTAGTAAGATTACAATTTTGAACTATAGAAAACTTAGATGACTTGGCCAATGAAATTCTACTACTAAACATTAGGATTCATTTACAAGTGGCATTCTTTGCAAATGAAATGAATTCCTAATTCATTTGATGCAAACACTATGCAAAATTTTCACGTTCATCGACCACAACTTAGAATGGATTCAGTGATAGACAATGTAGAATAATCATTAGACTCAGGAAATGACAAACTGCAATCTCCAGCTACTTGTTGGCTAATTGTGACCGAACCAATTCCAGGACCAGAAGCTTCCATTTGTATTTCTGGCAAGCTAGCCTTTCCATCTAGATATTGCACCACTTGCCTCATGATAGGCCTAGCTGCTGGTATAGGGTGAGCACAGAGCAGGCCTAACTTCAGAACCAATTCCATTTCCTCCACCAAATATTTACCTTCCAATTTAGGATCACTTGTTCCAAGAATTTGCCCTCTTTTCCAGTATTCAAGAACCCAATCTGCCAAAATCACCTCCTGAGGTGGTCTTTCTGGCTCTAGAGCTTCTAGAGGGCTTCCTTCCACGCCTAACTTCAAGCATAAGAATACCTAAAAGAAAAAACATCGCTGCTTGTAGTTAGCCTTTCCTGTTCTTCGTAGCCTCTGGTGCAAGGTATCTAGCAGTTCCAACAACACAAGTTGTTTGAGGAATCGACCCATGATCATAAAACTTAGCAAGTCCAAAATCCCCTAACCTTCCATTAAGATCAGAGTCTAACATAACATTTGAAGCTTTCACATCTCTATGTAGAACAACCTGTTCCCACTCTTCATGGAGGTAAACAAGTGCTGCTGCAACTCCTTTCAGGACTTGATATCGGCGAACCCAATTCAGATTTGGTGTGTGATTGTGAAATAAGAATTTATCAAGACTTCCGTTAGGCATATACTCATAAACCAAGAGCAACTCTCCCTTTCGCCGACAGTAGCCTAAGAGTTGCACTAAGTTCCTATGAGCTTCCCCATGGTAACAATTTCTGCTACAAATTCTTTCATTCCCTGTTGAGACTCATGTGAGACTTTCTTGACAGCAACTTGTGTATTGGAAGAAGGCAATACTCCTTTGTAAACTCGTCCAAATCCCCCAAAACCAAGCAACTCCTTCTCTCTGAACCCTTTAGTAGCTTTATAGAGATCTCTGTAAGAAAATCTTTGAGGTCCATATTCTTGTTCCCAATCTTCGCGCAATTCTTCATATTTCTTCCTCCATATGATATAAACAGCTCCAAAGATTATTGTTATCAGCAAAATAATTGCTTTGCTATTATTAATGGGATTACAGTACTTAAATCTGGTCTTTTGCTTGATTTTCTTTGAGGAGGAAGTAAAGGAAGTTTTGAGATATCAAGATTTTGAGCTGGCCCACTTCTGTTAAAGCTCCATCCAAGAATATAATGGTAGCTTGACATTGATCCTGTTGAAGAAGAAAAGCCAACATACATAGAATCCAAGAAAACTACAACATACATAGAATCCAAGAAAACTAAGGAAAGATCAAGATTTGTTGACAAGAGAGGCTTTTCTGGTTTCTTGATTTTTATAGGAGCTAAAGTAACATTGATTAGCTTCTCTGCATCATCATAATCTATCCATACCTGCATTGGATCTCCACTTATTAGCTCTAAAGTCTTATTTTGCCTTTCTTCCTCTGAATAATAGGCAGCTGAATCTGATACATTTGATATTAAACCATTCACATCTACACCGATATGATTGTTGTCCCTGTCTCGAAATTCTCGAGTCTTTATAGTATCAAACTCAACGGCAAAAATATGGTTTGAGGACAAGCCAATGCTTGCAGAATTAAATAGTCCAAAGTATTCTGTCGGCCATCCTCCTGTTAACTCCATAGATGGAGAGATAGTGAAGGTAAAGCCATGGCCACCAAGATTTGCCAACTGAGGAACAATGGCAAACACAAAAATGGCAAACACAAAATTGGTGGAAAATGAAAGAGACTGAGAATTCTCTGATGAATGATTATTGAACTTTAGAGGGAATGGAAAGAAAGCGCGGCCGATTTTCTTATATGAAAGATTTGTTAGCTCTAGCAGACCATTCTGCTGAATTTTTGCAATCCCATTAGCATGCAGGTCAGTTTCACTGAAGCCATGATAGATGAATTGATTTTCTTCTTTTGCTGCTAAGGCTAACTGTTTCAAGAAGACAAAACTATAGAGTAGAAAATTAAACAATTTAAACAAAGAAAACACAATTTAAACAAAGAAAACATTGAGAGACACAATTAGTTGTTGGCTTGAACAAATTTAATCAAAATGCTTGTTCTATGAATTTTTGAATGCAGATAATAAAGTGTTGAATATAAATATTTCTGTTCTAAATCTTGATGGTTTAGCAAATGCTATTCAACGCATGTGCAAGGTCAAAGGAAATAAGATTTCTATTTTTTTTCTTTTTACGTATTGAAGTTGATCTTTTCGACTTTGGAGAGACTCTTAGTCCAGCTGTGCATGCTGTGGTTATAAAAAGGGTTCATTTTTGAAAAAAAAAAGAAGGAAAAGAGAGAATGAGAGAAGAAATTGGCTGAAAACTGTTTTTCTGGCACGAATTTCGAGAAAGAATGAGGGAGTCTAAAAAAAACAGGGTTTTTATAGAAAAAACACGCTCGGAGGCGGCTGCTCCCGCCGGTGGAGGCGGCGGCGGCGGCGGCTGCTGGAGTCGGCGGTAGATACTGCCGAAAAAAAAGAAGAAGCAAAATGAAAAAAAAAAGAAAAAAGTCCTGTTTTCTTTCAAAATTGATAATCATGCATACATATAAAATTTTCAGTACTAACCAAGTGCAGGTACAGTCAAAGTTCAGTACAGAAATACAGGTAAAGAAAAAAAAATAACAGAAAAGCCTAGCAACCATGGCATCAGCGACGGGGCCTCCTCCTCCTCTGATCATCAAAGGCCCTCAGAGTCCAGGACGAAGAAAGTTCTTCTTCTTTTCATTTAACTTAATTTGCTATTACAGAAGAAGCATGTCACCTTCGCAAATTAATGCGACAGGATATAGTTTAATAGATGATCTGAAAACTAAAATTTTAACTTAATTTGCTATTACATTTTCTGTTTTGTATATGTATATGAATTGAGTAATAATGTTCTAATAAAGCCTGGACAGCTTGTCTCTAACAATTGGAAGACTTCCAGGAACCCATTGGCTTGACCTTAATTTTATATATATATCATAATATATAGCAAGTGGCGTAACTTCCCTGGAAACATCTACACCAGGTAACTCATCCTGGAGTCCTGTTTCTTTCAATTTTAACTTAATTTGCTATTACATTTTCTGTTTTGTATATGTATATGAATTGAGTAATAATGTTCTAATAAAGCCTGGACAGCTTGTCTCTAACAATTGGAAGACTTCCAGGAACCCATTGGCATAGGTCTAGGAACTACATGTTAGAGCTTAGGAACTCTTAATTTTCAAAAATCCATTCTGGCTTAACTACAAACCTAGTATGAGCTAAAAAATATCGATCAAACAAATGAAAAATAAATTGTTTTTTTGAACAAAATTTTTCTTAACTCGGAAAAAAAAAATCAAAAAGCAGAAAGTGAGAGCAAATCTAAAAAAATTTTAGCGGATTGATTTGATCATAGGCTAAGATACATAATTATCACATCTAAGCGAGTTTTATCCCTTTTCAATCAAATAAATTACTTATCCCATTAATTGAATTTGTTTGATGCAACCTTTGGGATCAATAACAGAGAGACAAATAGAAAATCTAAAGCTTAATCTAGCCTTTTGGATCTTGTTAATGAAGCAATGGTATTGCATCTGAATTTCAAGAACTAAAAACATGCTTTACATAATACATGGGATTCGAATAAAATAAAAGTTCCAGAATAAAAATTGAACTAAAAAATTTCATTACATTAGACATGTTCTGAGTTCTGACATTTAGCAAAATCCAAAATCCCCTAACCTTCCATTAGGATCAGAATCTAATAAAACATTGCTAGCTTTCACATCTCTATGTAAAACAACTTATTCCCATTCTTCATGGAGGTAGAAAAGAGCAGATGCTACTCCTTTAATGATTTGATATCGTTGAAACCAATCAAGACTAGGTTTTTCTTTACTAAATAAAACTCGTCAAGACTTCCATTAGGCATATGATCATAAACCAAGAAAAGCTCTCCTTTTCGCTGGCAATACCGTAATCATAAACCAAGAAAAGCTCTCCTTTTCGCCGGCAATACCCTAAAAGATGAACAAGATTCCTATGCCTTAGCCTTCCCAAGCTAGCAATTTCAGCTACAAATTCCTTCATTCCCTGTGTTGAATTATGTGAGATTTTCTTTACAGCAATTTGTAGATTAGATAAAGGTAGTGCTCCTTTATAAACCCTTCCAAAACCTCCACAACCAAGAAGCTCTTTGTCTTTAAAACCTTTAGTTGCTTTATAAAGATCCTTGTAAGGAAATAGATCCTTGTAAGAAAATCTTTGAGGACCGTATTGTTGTTCCCAACCTTCACGAATTTCTCCATATCTCTTCTTCCTTATCATATAAATAACTGCAGAAATAGTTACCAGAAAAATAATTACAATTGCCAATGGAAGCATAATTGTCAGTTCTAGATTACCCTTTGATTTTCTTTCATGAGGAAGTGAAGGCAGCTTTGAAAGATCAAGACTTTGTGCTTGCCCAATATTGTTAAAGCTCCACCCAAGAATATATATAATGGTTACTTGCAACAGAACCAGTCATGCAGAGAAACCAACATACATGGAATCCATGAAAACTAAAGAAAGATCAATACTTGTCGATGAAAGAGGCTTTTCTCGCTTTCTACTTTCTAGAGGAGCTACTGTTACATTAAGTAGCTTCTCCATTTGATTATATTCTATCCATGCTTGAATTGGGGTTACCCACTAATGATTCCCAAGCTCTTATTTTCTGATTCATTTTCTGAAACAAAATACGTGACCGGAGCTGAGCTATATGAATTATAAGCAGAGATATTGGATTAGTGTGAGATGTTATGATGTTAGAAAAGTGAATGATTTCTTTAAGAAAATGTAAGATGATTATGCTATATAAATCATGTCATGAGGGTTAAGAGAATTGATTAATGAAAATGAGAATCAAGATATGGTCTGTTCAAATATTAAATTGATGTTTAAATTAGTGAGCTGGATACATATTAATGAATATGGTTATGTCAGCATTTTAATATGAAGAAAAGAACACCTATGAAAGTTGAAAGGAATATGACTTGACATAACCTAGAAGAGACTTAAAATTTGGGTTATTATTAATTGGTGATTTTTTTTTAAGAAACCATTGACTTCTAGATTGGGACAAATCCTACATAAATACTATATAACTATAAGAATTTTTCCCTTTTTTAAAAACTGAGCTCGCCAAACATGTGAATACAAAACACTCCAATTAAAACTCCAAACCCCAGACATCTCAAATAATCATCATACACAACAACACAACGTTTTCTATATTTTCATAACTTTATAAATCCTCAATAGCATTTAATATTCATCAATTAAAATTGCATTCAGTATATATATCAAGTTTCATAAACTAATCATACCAACTCTCTTGAAATTATTTTATATTCCAATGTCATTAAATGAATCTTATGCTTATCTTCGAATATATGACACGCAACATAATCTTGCTAATACATTCTTAAGTATAATTCAAATAATACAAATCTTCTTTTGAAATATATAATACTTATACATGCTATAATTCTTATAGTAATAAACCGTCAATCTACTACTACCAACAATAGTCACTTCTGCTCTGATGCTACTCTTCTAGTCTTCGAGCAGCAACCACCCGAAGTCTTTAAACCTGCGCGTGATAAAACGCGCTGAGTATAAAACTTAGTGGTACTCATAATTCACATACTTACTAAAGTTGTGATGACAACTTACTTAAAACACAAATGACATAAAATCATTAATTTTCAACAGACATTTACATTTATAGCAAAAGAAATATCAACTTACTTACTATTAATTAATTAATAACATAAAGAAATATCAAATTACATGTACATTTTTTAAATCATTACTTGCACATTTATTATACCAATACATATACTATTTATTTTTAAAACCATGTACCTGAATATCATGCTTTGAAAATTCATTTGATAACATAATCATTAATTTCCAAAGTAAGGTTAACCAATGATATGATCTCACATTTCGTTTAATTCAAATACTTTGAAAGCAATAAGACGATTAATAAATACAAATATGTTTGTTCTTTAGTTAAGGCTCGTACTAATCCAGAATGAACAATAAGCATATTTTGATCGTGGCCTATGAAAGCACACACCGTGGCCTATGAAAGCACACCACCATCCCACATCGTGGCCTATGAAAGCACCACCCCCATCACACAAATACAAGCCGCGTCTGCCTAATTTATAAGGCTGAAACCCTAGCATATGATCTAGCTTCACATAACAAAATCAATCTCATTAAATAAATAAAAAAATAAGCCCCGTTTCAATCATGCATAGTAGAGCCGCAAATCAAATTATTCTTTTCAACAAAAGAATAATTCTTAATCAAAAACTCTTCATTACTTAAGACCAGTCAATTTTCAAATTTTCTCAACTTTAACAACTTAACAAATTTCCACATTCTTCAAAAGGAAATATTTTCAAATATATATATATATATAGTATAACTTAATATTAAGAAAAATTTCTCATCAATTTCCTTTTTCTTTTAAATACTTTCTTAACATCACCTAATAAAATTTACAATCATACTTTCCTATGCAAAATTCAAAGCACATACACCTTAAATTACTCATTTTTTTTTTTAAAAACTCTAAACATATAACCAGTTATCAAAAATAATGCATAGCTTATGTATACCTTATAGTGTTTTTGGCCCTCTTAATGAAACGCAAGGGGAGGAATCTTCTTCTCCACAAGCATACTAACATAACTCTTATGATAACTCTTATGCACCAAGGTATCCATTTCTATCCTCATCATGCAGTATCTAAACTAATTCCACACTTTATCCCAAAATTTCCAATAATTTTTCCCATTTATATACATTTAAACATATCCACAATACCACTTTTCAAACTTATATCTTATTTTTGTCAAATCAATCCTCAAACATACAAATAATCAAGAGAACCTCATCACACATGATTCATACACACATTTATCCAAATAAACCTATGAGTCAAG